GAGTATAATCTTATATTAAATGCTGTTTCATATATAGTGAATGGTACAAAACGCACTTGAATACTTCTTTCATTGATGAAGGCTGTGTGACCTTTGTGTTACTACTACGTTTGTTGAATATGTGGTGGTTGCAGATCAGAAGTCTCATGGCCAAATGCAACAGTTTACATCATGCTGATATGGTGCTACTCCACTGAGGAATGCAGTCCAGTTAAACTGTAAAAAGGAGAATGAGGGTTTGTTTTTTCCTTTATGAGACTGCAGTACAAAGAACTGATTTACAGGATATGGGATCCAGTTTCAGCTTGTCACAGGTCAACCTCATTTCTAAAAAACAGAATAAGGTGTTGAGCCCTGGTGTTACCCACTGCAGGTACAGTAGTTTCAAATAAGATGTGTGGGTTCTAGGGCAGTTGAAAATATTCTCTAACAAAAATAGCCTTTTTGGGTGAGTCACATTTTAATCATCTGACATAACAGAAGCCTATCATCAAGTTTAAAATAAAATAAAAAAAAAATCATTAAACTCAGTTGAAAGAAAATTTTGTTTTAGTTTCATATCCAGAAATAATCTGAATATTTTTTTTTCTGCTTTGCACGTATTGTCCTATGAATGGAGTTGTTGGGTGAAGGACTGCCCACCCAGTCCAAGAGCTGAGAGCTTAACTCCAGAGTATTTACCCAGCTAAGTTCCTCAGTTTCTTCAGCTTAGAATGGTGATAACACCGACATATCTTGCAGGGCATTGTAACGTGTGCATGTATAGATGTTTTAGCAGTGGGTAGTAATATGTGAGAATATTCAAGTGATTTTACTATAAGGCAATACAGTAAAGATGATTTGAGCAGTAGATATTTTGCATTATCTTCCTTAGCGAACTGTAATGAATATTTTTTGTAGAGTTTGAAATGGGGTTCAGGGGTAAAAGCCCGTATGGTTTGTGCAGTGAATTGTTGCACTGTTACTTATCAGAAAGCAGTGACTGAAATATGTGAGCACTCTTCACTTAAAATTATTTTTTAGAAAGGAAAACTGTCCTGAAAGCCTGCTAAGTACTACCTTGTAGCAGCATTCTTTGCTGTCTGTTCACGGTTTGAAGTTTTTTGGTGTGTGTTGGTTTTTGTTGTATTTTTCCTCGGCTCCCACTTAGACTCACTTGGCAGACTTCCTAATCCTGTTTGATTCACAATGTTCGGAACAACTGTGACAATGCTAACTAGCAGGACATTGCGTCACTGGGCTGATTTTTATTATTTTTCTCTTCCCAACCTCAGAGCTAAAGGTCGTGTTGACAGATTGCAGGGCTGGTACACGACTGCTGGAGCAAACCGGCTGCGATGGCAGGAACTCCTTCCAGCTAGTGAGTGTCACTGTGCTCCTTCTGATCTATTGGATGCTATTAGCTGTATAATATTAAATTAACACTTTAATGCCCCCTACACTGCATGATGTTTTGATGTGGAATACTGAAACCCGAAAAAACAAACAACGTAAAACCATGACAACCTCTTTGCTTTTCTGATTCCAAAACTCCCTGCTTCACACTCTTCACAGCTTTGGATCTTCTGTCTGTTAAGTCACTCAAGGCCATTGTTCCTCTCTGCTTACAAGAATATTATTTGAAGTGTAGTCTTGCCAATTAAGTTTCCAGGGAGACTTTTTGATCCTTCCAGGTTTACACTCTTAAGACATCTGGGAGCTTTTGTTGAGCTATTGGAAGAGTTAGAATAAACCCATCTTGGAATGGACAGCTTAAGGTTGTATTGCCTCCCCTGTGATGTTCTGTTACTTGTGACATCATTTCAGGGAAATACATGTTGCAACTCTTTGTGCTCCATGATTGCTTTTCTATTGTCAACATCTTTTATTTAAGTTGAGGTGTTATTCTTGTGTTTTCTTTAGACTGTTTCTATGGAGCTGGTACCCATCCACCCATCCATCCGTTTATGCAGTGAGTCATTCTTATGCTAGTTTTCAATTTACTTTAGATCCATGAATATCCTTCTTAGCGGTGCAGTACGAAGTAAAAAGCGATTATTAGGTGCATGTAGCTAACAGTATACAGTTGTAGTTTTATATCTATAATGCATAGATACAGGCTTTTTCATGGTGAGAAGGGAGATGAGGGCTGTGCCTGGCTCGTTGTTCTGTGCAAAGGGCTGACTTGATTGCACAGCAAATCTGTCTCAAGGCTTTTTGAGAGCCTTCCAGTCTATCACTGACTGTTGGGTGGCATCATCCCCATGATCGGTAGCAGTAGGCACTAAAGGCCACAGGAGGGAGGAGGGGGTGAAGCTGCCTTCACAAAGTGAGAAGTTTTCATCATAGACCTGGTTCTCCTGAGGGACTTCAACCACCCCAGCAGCTGTGGGGAGGACAGTGTGGTGAGGGACAAGCAACCCAAAAGATTTCGTGGCAGGGGAGATTCAGGCTGGACATTAGGAAGTATTACTTTTCAGAAAGGGTGGTCAGGCACTGGAATGGACTGCCCAGGGAGGTGGTGGAGTCACCGACCCTGGGGGTGTTCAAGGAAAGACTGGATGTTGTGTTGAGGGACATGGTTTAGTAGGAGCTATTGGGAATGGGTGAACGGTTGGACTGGATGATCTTTTAGGTCTTTTCCAACCTTAGTGATTCTATGATTCTATGCCAGGGACAGCTTTCCGAAGGGAAAGCAAAGTTACATACTGAATATGTTTATTTTATTCTACCTGCAGCACAAGCATGGCGCTGTGCCTGTACTTGCCTCTAATGTAAGAATGCACTACTGCAACTGCATTTTAAGTGAATCGTTTCATACTAAGTCAACTTTGAACAACAGAAGTAATTCAAAGAGCATTTAAGATCCTTCTCCACCCAGTTCTGTAAAGTGAAGACGTCAATCCAATAGATTGCTCTTCTGATTGCTCTGTTTGGTTTTTAAAAACAAAAATCTCAAATGCAGGGAATGGCACTGAGAGACATGGTTAGTGGGCACGGTGGGGATGGGTTGATGGTTGGACTGTTTGATCTTGGTGGTCTCCTTCAACCTTAGTAATTCTATGAATGCTTATACTACAGGAGACAGAACTATGCAGTGAAATTTTCAACCATATTACTGATTTCTAAGGATAAAGGCTGAGTTATCTGAAAGAGGCATCTTACCTGTACCAGTGGGTGTGCAGACAAGGATGTCAGATCTGTGGAACTGCAGATTACACAAATCATACTTCTCTAGCTCCTTTACCTGTACAATTGCTTTCTAGTGCAGATGTCAACTAGACACTAGACCTAGACACTAAAAAAAATTGGCCTCAACTTGTATTTAGCTTTGAAGCATAATGCTTCTACTTCAGAGATGAAGAGGGGCTTGTATGTCTGGAAGCCTAAGAGGACTATTACAGGAAATTGTAGGAGAACTTGAGAAACACCTAGCCTGTTGTTGGTCGCAGGTGATGTGTAAGCTGAAACTCAAGTCTGTAATGAACCAACCAGAATAGGTTGGAAACCAATTTTTTATGATCCCTATATTGGCAGTTCACCAATATTTCATTGTTAGGATATTTTTTACAAATACAACACTTGGTTGCATGTATGGAAACAACCACGCTATGCGCTTCACTCAGAAGAGAAAAGCAGGAGCATATTTATTGATATAATATAATGTAGTGATTTAACTGTGACGTAATCAGGTTTGACCAACCAGATGGCTGGATACACCCAATTATTTACTGCATAGCAGGTCGGGTTAAACACACACATAGAAAACTGTCCCACTGAGTCATGAGGGTTAGAGTGGACCTCTATTGCTTTCAAAGCCCCTGCAACCACAGGGGTGAAGAGTCTAGGTGTGGCTGGATCCGCTCCTAGCCCCACACTTGATCAGCAGTTTGTGTCTAAGGGATCATATGTGCACAAAGATGCAATATTAGTAAAGCTAACAAAATCTAAAACAGTCACTTGCTGTGGATTGGTATCGGCAAGGTGTCTTGACATCAAGGTGTCTGGGATCTCTGTGCAGGTGTAACCTCAGAAGGTGTCCATACTTGAGGGGAGATCCCATCATGCAGCCGTGGCCATGCAAGAGAGCTCAAGGGGACCGACTGTTGGGCTGCTCACTATTTTTGGGGTAAGACGACTGACTCCTAGTCATACTTTTAGGTGCCTGCTCCAATGGCCCTCAGCTCTTGAACCAGATGTCTGCTATCACTGCTATCAGCCCTCTAGTTTGAGACAGATCTGTGCTTGTTAATTTGTTTTAGAAAGTGTGTTATCAGTGGTGTCCATCATCATCTTCCTGTGCAAGGTGAAGGATGCAGTTGGGGAACAAGGAGGGGCAGCACTGTCACACCAAGCATCTGTGCTGACCGTGAGCCTGGTTTTCCCCCTGTACTTTGGGAGGGGCTGAGCAACAGGCGCTGTAACTGGTGTTCCGGGATAACCGTGTGGTGATGGATTGGCAGGAGATAGCAGTCCCTTAGGGTGAATGTCCTCAAAGGAACACGAGCTCAGATGCACGAGTTTGCAGGCAGAGGTACAGAGGGATGCTTGATTTAACTGAGAGACCTATCTGGCTTTGCATTCTTCTGCTGTGTTGCTTGTTTAGCAGCTCTTACCTTACTGCAGGGCGAGAATTCCATCCCAACCCTGCCCGCTGTCAGCAGGCAGTACTGTCCCAGGTCTCCTAGTTGTCCTACGGCTTGATGCTCTGCTTGAAGGTGGATCTTCATTCCTTTCTTGCGAGAAAACTTGCAGGAAAGCGATGCTTCCACTTTAGGAAGCGGAAACGGAGGGCGTAAGCTGACACTCGGAACGAGCCAGGTAAGCACAGGGCTTCCCGTCCTCGCTTTCCGGACGGACAAGGGGAAGATCCAGCCCTTCCCACCCGTACCCCGCACCAAAGGGGCCGTGCCGCGCCTCGCCCCCCGCAGCCAGGCGCGCTCCGGAGGCGGCGCAGCTCTCCCCGCCTCTCTGGGCCCCACCCCGCTGTCTGCCCGGCCGGCGGGGGGCGGGACGGAGGCGTCTCCCGGGCCGCCCTCTTACTCCCCTTTTCGCCGGAGGTAGCGGTTCCTCGGGGTCGGGATGGAGGCGGCTGTGGCGCGGGGCTCGCTGGGCAGAGCGTTGTCCGGCACCCACCGCCAGGATCTGCCCGGCTGTAAGGCCGTCAGCGAGGCGCGGGTGCTGGTCATCAATACGGGCGGCACCATCGGCATGGTGCAGGACGACAAGGGTGAGCGGGGCGAGCCGGGCTGCAGCCGTGAGGAGCAGCGTTCTGCGGGTGGAGGGCAGGGGAAGGGAAGGGAAGGGAAGGAGGCCGCTCCTTGCGCCAGCTAAAAGCCCGGCTTCTAGCGGGCGAGTGGCACCAAAACGGGATCCTTTCTTCTCAAATCCCGCGTCTGTACCGGTGGAAGCGCATCCTTGTGAGCAGCGGCCCCTGGGCTGGGAGCGGCAGGGCACGGAACAACGTGTTTCCTGCAGCGCCAGTCCTTTCTCTCCACGCTCGCGCGCTGAAAATGAAACCAGCTTCGTTGCACAGCTCACGTTGCGTATTTTTTAGCCCCAGAAGAATCGTCCCGGGCTCCGTGGCACGTAGAGTGATGCCGGGTTGGGGGTGTGGAGAGAATGGGAGTAGTTTGGTTAGGATGAGCATAAGTTCTCTTTTCTTATTTCATTACTTGGTAGGCAGCGCAGCGTCCCAGGGTGGCTGTAAGCTTCCAGCAATAGAACTAGGGTGCTCCTGTTACCTACTGCAGAGTTTCACGGTTGAAATAACATCTCGGGTACGCATCTGTAGGTTTCAAACACTTAGGGCTTCACCTCTGAGTTTTCTACGCTATATTTGTTTCCTTCCTTCTTAGGCAATTGCTGTTTCTTGTTACTGTAGGGCACATGCTTCACAGCGTTGTTGTGCTTTGTTTTTTATGGCTGTTGTCACTGTGTTTAACCCTTGAAATGAGCCTGAGGAATGACAGCTGCAAGAGGAATCCGTGTTTCAAGTGACACGTGGTCACTTTCCTCTATTTGCACTGCTGCTAACATCATTTCCTATTTCTGCTGGCTCAGTTTCCCAAACACCTTAAAAAAAAAAAAATCTCCATTCTTTTATGAATGAACTCCACAGCCTCTTTGGATCGTGTGCTTTATTTCTGTTGCCCAACATGTGTCAATCCATTACAGCACATGCAAACAATCTGACAGTTCTGATCCAATGCTGCCGGTGTGCTGCATCCCGCTGAGGGTTCCGCCTGCTTCTTCTGCACAGATCCAGCAGCAGAGCAGCTGGAGTGCCTCTTTAAGAATATTTGCCAGTCCATCGTGTTTAAACTGAAGCTGGTGAAAGGGCATGAGAAAAGCAGCATGCTTAAAAGGTTGGAAAAAAAAAAATCCTCAACAATATGCTTGTTTCTTTTATTAATCAATACCTAGAAAACACCTGCTTAGAACCATAGCTCAAGCTGTGTTTTATTTCAAGCAAAGTAAACAGCAGTGAGTTCCTTGAGCAGCATGAAACTTTACAGCAGCAATTGAAGGGTTCAAGCAAGGCTCCCACCTAATTCCCATATAGGCTGCTCTTTTATGGCCTTTCCTCTTACTAGAAAAGATGGTATCATTTGTAAATGCTGACAGGACGAGCTTACTCTCTGCAAAACACATCAGGCCAATGTAGAGCTGCCTCCATGTGCAGTGCAGGTTACAGTCACGTTCCCTGGGCTCGTTGTGCATGTGTGGATGACTGTTGATTGCTGCCTGGTCTGATGGTAAGATGGTAAGCCCACTGCAGGTGCTTTGCAGTTGATCTGTGTGCATGTGGCAACCTCAGCACCTCTCAGACCTCTTGAACTCCCTATGGCCCTGGAGCTTAGCCCTGAGGGAGTCCTTTTCAGAGGATGGGTGCTCTCTGTTCACCCAGTGAAGTGACAACCAAAATCACTTGCAGCCTCTCCCAGCATTCCTGCTTTACATTCAAATAAGCTATCTCAATGCATGTTTTAGATTTCTTCCTTTTGCTTCCTCCTACTTCATTCCTCCCACCTCTTTTGGCTTATCAGCAGCTCAGTTCAGAAGGATAATCCTGCTGCTCTGTGCAGTGAGGTTATTGTAACACTGATCCCCACATCAAGCTCTGCTCCTCCTGGATTGTGCTTTCAGGAAGATCTTTTCCTCAGCCTTGAGTACTGCTCTCTTTCATAGCTTCTACCTCAAAAAATGAGAAAAGAAATCCTACCTAACAAACACAAGTGGGGCTAAGCTAAATCCCCTTAGAAGGATTACTTGGAATAGTCTTTCTGGGTAACATGGTTAATTTTCTGTCTTTTCTGGATGTAGTAGACTGCTGAAGGTCTGACTGCTGTGGTCCAAATAGGACCCAACTCCTATGGTGGGTTCTTTGGGTGTCAGAAGCCCCCAAGATACAGCTGAATTGGAGTCTTTCAGCTCCCCCTTCTCTCCAACACAGGCTATAGGTTAACGAGACTGATAAGTAGCTATCGCTATATTAGCTTTAGTACTGGAGCGAAACAGACCTCTGCTCCAGGTGAGACAGAGTCATCCTTGTTCTTCTCACCATGGGGTTGCCCAGCTGCAGAGGAACAGGTCAGCAGCTGATGAGAGGCGTTTGGATGAGTTGCATGACTTGCCTCTTCTCTGCAGGGGTGAAGCTGCTACAAATGCTCGGTTAATGAGTTTGGCTCACAGAAGATATTTTCCGTGCATAATAAAATAGAAGTGTTCTTAAAACTGTCGTGCTTGAGTTCCCCTGCGTGGCTCCTTGAAGCAGTGGAGCAGACAATACTGCCAGATATGGGTGCGTGCAGGGGACGGCGTTGGTTGTGAGCCAGATGTCTTTGGTGTGTCTGCAGAATCTCTGAAGGTTTGATCACAGTCGAGCAGGCACAGGAAATCCCATTGGATTTGTGATCCAGAGATGAGGAACATTCATTGGGAAGAGATTTAAAAATATTATCATTCGTCAGCTCTCCTGCTCTTAGAACAAATAGGAGAAATAAGCTCTCTAATCCATTGCCAGTATTTAGAGTAAGGTGAACAAGGGAAAACAAAAAAACACTGTGCTGCTGCGTGGAGCTTCAGAGCTAGGATGACTCTATATCCAAGTGCAGTGGCCATTTGTGAGTAAGCTAGGGACATCTTTAATAGGAATAAGCAGGGGTTGTAAATGAAACAACAAAACATCCAAAGCTGGAAGCACGTTGAGTATATTTTGTAAAACAAAATGTTCCAGTAGGAATCCAAGCAAAGCCACTCAAATGCTGTTGCCATCCTGCAAGGAAGCTGGCTATGAAAAGGCCTCGTACTTCATTTAGGGCAAGCCAGCAAAGAGATTAGGGCATTCTTAAGGGTTTTCCATCAGTTTGGAAAGTAAAGCAGGCTGCATGCACTTCAGCTAATGCTATTACCGTTTCTCTGTACTTTGGAATATTTTAAAGAACAAACTTGTTTGAAGATGAAATAATAAAAAAGATCATAGAATCACATGTGCAAATGGTGTTCAGGCAAACAGAAGAGCTGGGAAGTGGGAGAGAATTCTTCTAGCTGTAGATGTCCCCGTTCCTTGGAGGGGAGTTGAACCAGGTGGGATGATTCTCTGATTGTTTAGCCTCAAACTGTGACTGGCTGGAACTGGCAGAAGTTGAATTATGAGGTTTGAGAATTTCTTCGCTGTCAGAGCAGGTGAGACTGCACAGATCTGGACAGCAGTACCAGTAGAATCTTGGAGTTCAGAAAGAAGTGCCTCTGCTTGAATACTGCAGTGTAATTTTATAACTGGAATTGTTGTAATCTAATTGGAATACTGCTGATCCAGAAACTCCTCATGTGCTGCTGGCACTTAAAGATATAGGAGTTAATAAAATATATAATGTTCCACCTTGCTAAATTCAGACCATCTTCCTCGGCTCATTTCAGCAGCCAAATGCAGACAACCTTCATCCTACCACTATCAGAGCAGCTGCAGGCTCAGTTTACAGTGGAACTCAGCTCTGTCAAACCAAACATAACGTCAAACATTGAAGGTGCCTTTTTATCTAGCAGAGAGCAGCATATGGATTCCTTTTGAAGTACCTGGTTGCCCTCAGAATGCCTGCAGGTGCAGCACACTATTCATAGGCTTGGTCTGGTGCGGGCCTCAGCCATCTTCAAGGTCACTTCCACAGAAATGAGGATGTCCAGGGCAAGGAGAGGGTGAACAGAGCTTAGGATGCATCCACACTTCCATAGAATCATTAAAGTTGGAAAAGACCCCAAAGGTCATCTAGTCCTCATGTACCTCCACTGTGTTAAGGTGTTCAGTCCTCAACCTGCTGGTGGAAAGCTCCTGTTTCAGGGAGGGTGATGGGGAACTCAGTATTTAGGACTCAGCTGGCAAGCTGCTATTTCTCTGTCTTTATAAACACAGATCTTTTTCCGTGTCTGCCTATGCTCAATACCTAGTGTGGGATTTGTTCAGGCTTTCCCTTTTTTTCACCTTTGTGCAAATGCTGTTGCTGCTGACGGTGAGACCTAACGCGCTGCTTTTCTATACAGCCATACTGGCACCTTGCTGTCTGTGCCAGTACATCTGTAGGATGTCAGCTAAGGAGCTTAGGCAGAAATATCACAGCTTTGTAGTGCAAAACAACATCCGTGTTCGGTAAATATCCTGCCACTGGCTAGAGGGTAGCTGTGGAAAATGCTGAAGAGAGTGGTAGCTTTTTGCTGTCCGTATTAGCACACAGACAACAATTTAGGTAAAACATAAACACTTGATACACAGGGGATTTATAACCTTATTTCTGCCAAATAAAGGATTTATTTATTTATTTAAAGCCTGGAAAAGAGTAGCTGCACAGAGAGTTATTGATTACGTTGTTTTCAAGTTCTGAGCTGGCAGCAGACTGTTAATGTTTCATGTAGGACAGGCCACAAGCTGGATAAACCGATTTCTTCCCCCCTTTTGGTGCTACTCACTACCTTCCATCCTTTATTTACTTCATTTATTCTTTTTTTTTTTTTTTTTCCAGGACTTGCTCCTGAGGCCAATAAGTTAGTAAGCAGCTTGAAGACGATGCCAATGCTGCATGATGATGCATATGCCCAGGAAACAAAACTGTGCAACCTCCATGAATTTCCGGATGATACATTGGTGCTCCCGTAAGTATTTCTTCCCTGGGGAGAGGGAATTGTGTAGACTTTAAAATAATTGTCCCTGCAAACAATTAATATGGGGATTCTGCTATGAAATCAGCAAAAATGTTTATATTGATTTAAAAGTGGGCATTGTGGGAGCGGGTTGATGGTTGGACTAGGTGATCTTAGGGGACTCTTCTGACCTTAATGATTCTGTGATTGTAAAAGGAAAAAGCCCAGGGTGCCTGGTACTATGCAAAATATGAAGTGTCATAAAATTGCTTGAGAAATTACCTATAAATTTGTCAACAAGCAGACATTCCGGACAGCTTAAGTCCTACATTTTTTCTGGATTTTGATATTAATGGGCTGCTATGCAAGCATACAAATATTCCCAAATAGCTAGGAAAGCTGCAAATACAGCTCTGTGTGAATTATCTTTGGCATGCCTGATAAAGTAGCATCTAATTAATGCATCCATGAATAGGCCTCATGCTTTAATTCTGCAGGCCTTCTGTTGTTTTTTTTTTAAACCCAAAAGCTGATTGTCTTTCCCAGATTTATGCAACATTATGATAATAGCTGATGGGCTTACAATTAATCTGCATTACTTCTTAACTCTTGGGCAATGATTAGTAAGCTTTTAGGTTTTATTTGGAGGGCAGTATGCTAATTTGAGATATTCCACAGCTGTGATGAATGACTGCTTCTGTAAACACGTTAACTTGGCACAAAGGATAATTTTACAATCACTCAAGAATAAATGGGACTGTTGCTGTTTTGTTATGAGTGCAAATGGATATTCCTTAAACTTTATGGAAAAAATCAGAGCATAAAAACAAATTGTAAGGTTTGTTAATTTCTTTCTATTTTGTACTAAGGTCTCTGTTAAAAGTAACTTCTTAGAAGGCAGACAGCAGGAAGATGAATGAAGGGAAAACAGTGAACTCCCAGCTGATTAATATGGTTGTGAACATACAATTTATGTTAAATCCAATGACTATAACAAGAAAATTTGAGATTTGTTCTGGTACTGTTATAACTGAATGGCTTTTAAGTACTTCAGGGGATTTAAAATGTAAGTGCACTGATATGCACATTGGACTCCCAGATATACTTCTTTTGGTGTATGTTTTCCACGAAGTGCAGAAAACCTTGAAACAATCAATTCAGATCAAGAACTGAAGTTTAAAAAACAGTCCTGTCCTCTTTTTTCTGGCACTGCTGTGTGCCATTTGTGGAGGTCAGTCGTGGCAATCTGCCACTTTCTCTTTTGTGCTGGCTGAGTGATATTTTAACCAGGCAGCTGAGAAATAATGCAGCTTTCTGAAGGAAGAAAATGGGAGTATTTTGTGAACTTTGTGAAACCGTGTTGTAACTGTGACGTAACAACGAAGATACCAACTAATGATCATCCTTCTTGGAGAGAGGAGTCAAAAGCAGTAGAGTAGGCTGCTCTTGGTTGTGGTATGCTGTGTGTTATTTAAGCAGCACTTCCTTGAGAAGCTCTTTTCACAAATTTTCCACTGCCTTACAAAGTTGCTGGTAGGCAGCATGTCAAGAAAGCAATTTTTTGTATGATAACTCAATTACAGTAAGTCAGTTGTTTTTGAGCAATAACCCCATGTTGATTAAGTACTTTCTCTACTGTAAGCAGCGTTCACACAGGCTTCGTATGGGGAGTGGTTGCTCAGATTTTGTTAGGTGATTTATTTTTTATTGCATATGTTATGTTGTTATAAGCAAGAATAGCAAGTAGGGAAAAAACAGCACTTGCAGATGCTGAGGGAAGGCAATGAACTGTGTGCTCTAAGCACATCCAGATGTTGTGGAGTATCATGGCCTTTGACTGTCTTACACTCATAGGAAATAAATGTAGTAGCATCAGTCACAGTTAAACAAAACTTTGCATCGTCATCAGGCAGTGGAGTAACATTGAGAATGCTCTGAAGGTGATGCTGTTGGATGGCTTCACTTGGATGCCATCCTGGATGGCTTCGCTTGGAAGGGAATGTAGAAAGGACTGAGCTGGCCTGCTAGTAGTCCTGATAGGTTAGCTGCTTGTTTGTCATCACATTTCTAAAGACAAACATATTCTGACTGTTAAGTACATATCTGTTTCTCGGGGTTTTTTAAATGCTTTTTTTCTTGTCATTTTAACCCTGTAGCAGACAGTAGGTCTGTAAGTTTTAGTGACATGAGCTGTGGTCATTCTCATTCCTAGCTTGAAAATTTCCTTTAAAATGCTAATATAAGAATGGTGGATATTCTATTATTTTTTTATATTCTAATAAAATGGTGGATATTCTATTATTTTCCAAGCTTCAAGAAGGTAGCAGAAAATAGTTGCAGTGATGTTCTTTTTTTTACCCCAAACCTTGTAAGTAGAAAAGCTCAATTTATATGCACTTGGCTATATTGATGGGTAAAAGAAGGTGGAGAAAAGGGAAATTTCATGGGGGTAGAACACCTGCTCTGTTTGTAGCCTGTGTAGCTGGCAATCCAAAGCTCTTGGAAGAGTCAGATTTCAGATGAAGAAAGGGAGATGGATGGTCTTTGGAGGCAGGGAGAGCAGACAGCTGTAACAATCCCACTGGGATTACAGTCATTTTTTCCTTAGACACTGAAAATTCACAGAATCACAGAAAAAAATTCCCCTCTAACTTTGGAATTTTGCACTTCTAGATAGCTCTTTTTTCTGGTCGTCTTCTGCTGGGCTTCATGCTATGTGAAGTTTGAAAGCATTGCATTTCTCAGCCCCACAAGTACTTGACTTTTTCTATACTTGCACAGTTGCTTTGTCTCATCTGCCTTGCACTGCGAGAAGTCTCAGTTATCGAGGCTGCACTTGTGCAGTAGCCAATGACTGATTACCGGTGGGGCCACTGTTTCCAACTGTGCCAGTATTTTAAGATCTTTGATATTATTTTGTGCTTAAAAGTCCACATCATTCACAAGAGATGTCCGGTACCAACGATGTCAGATGTTAACAGGCCCGATAGGCCAGGACTTGAGGAAGGTAACCTAACACTAGGAAACTGTGGGTCATTTGGCAACAGTTTACTTGATGGTATTGGATAAAAAAGGAAACATTTTCTGAAATCTGAGGTCAGAGAAACCAAGGGAAGTAAGCTTTGAAAAAGGTATAAAAATAAAGGGCAGTCCTAAGACTCTGAAAAGAAGACTCCCTTCGTTGCAAGGAATTTGTAGCTATCACAGCATTAAGCAGTTGTTGAAACTCATCTGTGAATCCTCTGTGTATCTTGGGAGCTTTACAGATTCCTCTCAATAGCTTACGAAGCATTTTTGAAACCATAAGGCTAGATATGAACTTACGTTAGAACTCAATTCCAAACTTAAACAAAGTGACTCTGCATTATTCTTACCTGCCTTTGTTTCTGCCAACTTCTCCCCACCTCCCAAATTCTAAGTTTAGTAAATTGAAGTGTTTGTACTTCAAACCACATCAAGTCATGAGTTTCTACACTTGGAACTTAATGTTTCAAATGTAAGACCATTTCCTTGGCTAAGGACTTGCAGATACAGGGAGAAGTTAGTGCTTTAGTGAAAAAAATGAGAGGCTGTGAGCTGCTGTTAGCCCTAATAGTGACTTTTTCCCCTGAATTATCTTTCTTTTTAGTGTCTCTAAGCAAAACAAAAGAATTTTCTACACAATCCTGGAGCTGTCACCACTACTTGATTCTTCAAACATGACACCCGAGGACTGGGCCAAAATTGCAAAGAAACTTGAGGTATGGTGTGGGATAAAACTTCATTTATTGCTGAAACAAAACTAGCACTGTGTTTAGTATACTTAGCAAGGTATAACAATGTGGAACTACTATAATTAAAGTTTTAATGTCATCCCTGTTTCTTAGTTAACTGTAAAGCAAGAAGTACTGTGCTTGCAAAGCGTGCATTTTGAAGAGGCTGCAGACTCATTTCTTATGTAGCTCTTCCTATGACAAGCCATAATTCTGTAAAATGAAAAGAAAAATTGCAGCTGTGATTGAATAAGATATGTAATATATAGATTCATATGTTATTGGCTTCGATTCACTGTGCCAAGTGTCAAGTAAAAAGAAAAGTGTCAAGTAAAATCCTTAGGTGCAGGTGACTTAGCAGAAGGTTGTATAGTTATACAGCATTTGGATGTTCTGCTAGATGAATGGTTAGCTCTCAGTGTAGGAAATAATTTCATATGCCTTTCTTACTCAGACACTGTCCTGACTAGCTTTGCTTTTGCAACCAGGAGAAAAAGCATTACCAAGGTTGGCTTTCACACACTGGGAAATGATCAAAGCCCTAAATATTTTTGTATATATAGATAAACTCATTATATACTTCTCTAGATTAAGAGCATTTCTTTGCTTCTGTTCCCGTTTATTAACTATGTGCTTTAAAGAAAGCAGAAATATGAAACATTTCAAATACTTCACACCAGGAATTCATATGTAGCTGTTAGCAATAAGTAACCTAAGTGGGCCTACAAAGACTCTGCTCTTCCACTCCTCCTCATTCTGCAGTGGTGTCTTTGTGTTGCAGGTCTCCTTCCACCAGGCTGTACCCGTTTTCACTAAGGGTACAATAATACTGGGAATGCTACTGAAGATTATGTAACCGTCTTTGACCTTTAGATCCTCTAATCCTGAAACCATTAAAGTAAGGGAGATGCTTCACTTATGGAATGCATCTTGACAGTTCAGAGAAGAGATGAGAGGTGGAATAGGGATGCAGCTGGGAAAAGCCCAGGGCTGAGAGTAGGGTATCTTAAAGAAGGCAATGCCATGTTGAACAGGAGAGAATTTACCTTTCTTCCTTAATGGGGCATCAGTTTTTTTACAGCTTCTTAAAAAATGTGCGCAGAATACGGCTTCTTTAAATCCAGTACATGCAGTCCAAGTGAAAAGTGCTGAGAAGGAAAAAAATTCTTTAGCTGTCCAGCTTGTGGCTAGACACTGCCACGTTGTGTTCATCCTCAGTGCTTCCTTGGTGCAGCTGTAACACGTTGGAGACTTCTCAGAATGGAACACTCTAAGTCATTTCTTTGGGATTTTTCCTTAGTGAAAAGGCTGATCTTTTGTATGGTGAAGGTTAAGACCAGCTGTGTTCTTTATCATTTAACAAGATTCATAAGGCTGACAGTATTAGTGAAGTGTACAGACTGAATTAGATAGGACAGGCAGCTATTTCTGTGATTTTAGCCCTTGGAATTTGCTTATGTTGATTCAGCATTGATGAATACAGCAGCACGCTTTATGCATCCCAGTTCCTGGCCTACAGAAAAATCTTGCAGCGTTGGTTTTTCTGTGGGCTAACCATTGAGAAATAAACAGAACTCCACTGAAACTTTCAGTAAATAGCAACATGAAGGGATGAGTATTGGTGAGGAAATAGTAAAGGACAAACAGAAATGTATGGGTGGATTAGGAGCTGACCATAATAACAGGAGATGCCAAGTGCGTGTACCCATTGTAGTATAAGAAATCTACTTCAAAAGGAATCTGATTTAATTCTATGGAAAATAAAAAAAATTCCCACTGGAACTTTTCGTATTTGCTCAGACTGCTGTATAATCATGTCCCTTTAACCAAATTACATTAGAGACATCAGTTCCTTTGACTGAAGTGTTTACTATGTGCATCGCTCTTAAAATAGAGGAACCAATTCCTTTCTCCTCTGAAAGCCAGCTGATGATTTTATTCCATCAGGATGAAGAGTAATTAATGGCTTTGCATTAAAAACTTCCTGTGTAGAACTGTATGTAGATTGCATCACAGAATCACAGAATTGTAGAGGCTGGAAGGGACCTCTGGAGATCATCCAGTCCAACCCTCTGCTAAAGGAGTTCCCTACAGTTGGGCAGGAAAGCATCCAGGTGGATTTTGAGTATCTCCAGAGAAGTAGACACCACCACTCCCTGGGCAGTCAGTTCCAGCGCTTTGTCACCTACACAGTAAAGAAGTTTTTCTCATGTTCATATGGAACTTCCTGTGTTTTTCAGTTTGAGTCCGTTGCTCCTTATCCTGTCGCTGAGCATCACCCAGAAGAGCCTGGCCCCATCCACTTGACTGCCATTCGTTATTTATAAGCATTGATAAGATCCCCTCTGAGCCTTCTCTCCTCCAGGCTGAACAGTCCCAGGGCCCTCAGCCTGCCCTCGCATGGGAGATGCTCCAGGCCCCAGCCATCCTTAGGGCCCCTGCTGGACTCTACAAGTTCCCCGTCTTTTTGGAACTGAGGAGCCCAGCAGTGCCACAATACTCCAGATGTGACCTCACCAGGACAGAGCAGAGGGGCAGATCACCTCCCTCACCGTGCTGGCCACACTCTTTTTAATGCACTCCGACTTCATAAAGTCATTATAAAATGACTTATTTTTTTGCATCTGTTCTAAGGCAAGCATGCCTGGTTCTAAGGCAAGCATGTGTACCTTACCTTCAAACAGAAACAGCCTCTTCAGCTCGGGAGCTGCAGGAATGGAGTACTGCTTGAGAAGTGATGACGTTGAAACAGAAGAGGGCACTCTTACACTGGCAATCTGCCTGGCTGCCAACCGGATTACACGGGCTGTTTTTTTCTATATGTACATCATGATAGCCTCGATTTGCCTCTTCTGTTCCCGTAAATGATGTAATCCCCTCAGTGAAAGCAGCAACAAGAAATCAGACCATGCGACCGATTTGCATATGTTAACATTCCTGTTTCGAGCCATTGCTAAGCTTTTCTTAATTAGCAGTCTTCTGGTTTAAAAATGCTGCATTAATATGTATACATAGAAAAATCTCTTTGACTGTTCCTTAATTAGTATTACAGCTGTAGTGTTTATTGTCCTATTAACCCTTAATTATGTTTAAACTCAAAACGTGGATATTTGAGGAGGAATTACCCATGTGGTACCCTTTAAAGTATCACACTGTTGCTTGCATCAGTGAAAGTCGTGCAGTTCATCCGTCGCTTTGATGCCAGTGCATTGTTCTAACTGCATGAAAAATGTCTCTCCGTCTCCAGGAGCACTATGAAAAGTATGATGGCTTTGTGATCCTCCATGGCACTGACACAATGGCATACACAGCTTCAGCCTTATCCTTCATGTGTGAGAACCTGGGTAAAACTGTTGTTCTGACAGGATCGCAGGTAATGGGCTTTATTTGAAATAAAACTTCATTTTCTGTTTTTGTATGCAAAGCTACATCGAATCTTGACTGTCATTATGGCTTTTACTAGTGCAGGACAGGCCTCTCGCCAGGGTGATGCTCACAGTGCTGTTAGAAATCATTGAGAATTGACAGGCTTACCAGCTGAGGATCTGCCCCATAATTTTATCATTAGTGACTTTACAACTCCATACCACATCAGACCAGTAGTTCATTATGGTCGGAGCCAGATGCTTCAGAGAAAGATATAAGGGCCTGTCATTGGCCATTGTGTAATAATCTGTTTATATGAGAGGCATCCTTCCAGCCTCAGGTGGCTGCTGGTTGTTAGCTGTCTTTTTTTTTGTTGTTTGTTTTAAAGCCCTGAAGCTTATTACTTTTTACTTCATCGTTTCTTAGCCCATCTTATGTTACTCATTGTTGTGTTATTTCTCATTTTTTACAGTCTCTCAGCATTGTATGCATTTTTTATCATTTCTGTTCCACGAAGCATCTCACACAGTCTGTCTTTTCCTCTAAAGACAAGATTTATTAATTTTCATTCTCTTAGCTGGAGATCAGACCTTTGCATATTGTCAGAGGAGGAGGGATTGTCTTACTAGAATAGCTTGCTTGAGTGTAAAATACAGCTCTAATCTAGTCACAAAAGAGAGATGAAACATAGCACTGTAAAACCCTTCTCCAGCATTTCATAACTTCCCTTTTACTTGTGGTCTATTTGAAGTCAAAATACAAAAGTCTAGGAAAGAGTAGGCTGCCACTTAGTGACTTGACGTGGAACAGTCCAGTTGTGGTACATCATATTCAAGGTTTTACTATTTTTTTGCTTAATTATTTGGGGAGCTGCCTGGCATGATCTAGCAGTAGAGCATGTGACTTTTATTTTTTTTGCTGAAAGAAGCTCTGACTCTTTGTTAATAAAGACACAATCTGCAAAGGCACGGAGGTCATCCCTGTCATTCAGCAGACCAGATTTCTGCTTTTAATCTTGTTCATTTCTGTCAGTCACAACCTGCTGGCTCAGGTCTTGTATACTACTATGAGGAAAGATGGTGCAAGAGAGCTGTTCTGAAGCCATAGAGGCAGTTCTGTATGAACTGAGACTTGTTTCTGTACTAGCACTTCTCCCATGTTCAGTCACGTAAACTGAGCTTGCTTACTTTATATTCTTGATATTTTTCCTTCTAAAAACAATTGCTTAATCATACTAGAATCATCTCTACATTATCTTTAAGCACTTGCATTATAGAAGCAGGATAAGCAGAGGGAAACCCCACCTTCTGCTGTAGTTTAAAATAGTTTGGATGAAGAAGTAAACTTGTCATAAATCATTGTTATATGAATTATTCATGTATCTCTATTGCATAAGTTGGATTCTTTTTTTTTCCTGCTGTGTAGGCTTTATGAAAGGGATGGGGTTTAATTTCATTCTCTACTCTTCAGGTGCCTATATATGAGCTGCAGAATGACGGCCGAGCCAACCTTCTGGGGGCACTGCTTTTTGCTGGGCAGTTCGTGATTCCCGAGGTCTGTTTGCCTGTGAAGACCATCTTGACAGCTGCTCTTCTCCCTCTAGTTAGGAACTCATACTTAAATACTCAAAATATCTGGTAGGATTTGCACTTGAAAGGGGAAGGAAAAAAAAAAGATTCTGCTGAGGTAACAGCCCCTTGCATGGCAAAGCACACACTGTTTTCTCAGGATTAATGCCTCATTTTGCCTGTATGCAATCTATAAACACTATCTAGTCTGAATTTTAGCTTGCAGCAGACTTGAAATCAGAGATTCTCTTACAAACGCGTGGGATCTGAAGCCATTTCTAAGTCAGTTTTTGAACTGAAAGTTACTTTGAAGTTCTTGAGTTGTGCTAGAACTGATAGCAATATCTTCTAGCTCTAGTACCTGAAGACTGAAGTGTCAAGGATGATACACATAATAAACATGGGAGCATCTCCATGGTCTCAGCACCCTGCTTTTAAAGACAATGATGCTATGCAAGCCAAAAATCTGAGAGAAATCTCATCAGGTTATTCCTTATTTAACTTCTGCCATGCTTACCAGTCTTTACAGGATATTACAGCAAGGCCCAGATCTTCATAACTAACAGCAACTTTGAGATATCTGTTTTTGTTCAAATTCCAATTGACTTACTTTTAGGGGCTTGAAAAGAAACCAATATTATTTATATTTTTGAAAGTTATCCTTCATTTCTACTAGGCCTTTTGTTAAGATTTGGGACTCTGAATTTAGATGTAAGTGTGCACAAATTGTCCACACTGTTCCTTTCCTCTACCTCTGGACTCAGGCAAATTTGCTGTCTCCTAGACTCTACTTCACAAGAGGATTATGAAACTAGTTAGCTCTTAACCTATTTTCTTCTTCTTAAATTCTTAAACCAACGTGCAACAGATGTGCCAACTCTTTTTGAAAGGGTAGGAGTTGTAAACATCTACTGGCCTCTGAGTAGTTTTAAAGATTTAGAAAACACTTTATAAAGGACAGACTATAGTATTTATCTACTGAATCTTTTAATTACTGGCTTATTCATAGACCTGTTTCTTTACTTGTTTTGCAGGTGTGCCTGTATTTTTATAATAAACTGTACAGGGGAAATAGGGTGACTAAGGTGGATGCTGGGAGTTTCAATGCCTTTTCCTCACCTAACCTGCCTCCACTTGCAAATGCTGAGGTTGATATTACAAGTAAGCAACATCCTCTCTTAAGCCTTGTAATTTATGCCACATGTAATAGAGCTGTAGCTGAAAAGAATCTGTGCCTATGTAGTTGAAATGCTGTTTTAAAACTCAAATATGTTTGAAAGCACTGTATTTTGACTCCACTTTATATGCTCTGAAACTTCAAATATTAGTAGGACTGAGAATTTGTGAACTCAACTGTATTTATCTCTTGAATATAGATGTGAGCTGGACAGACTTTGACTCAAGATGTAGACTAACCAAAGGGAATTTTTCCCTTGTGTCATGAAAATGCTTGCTCTGAAGATAAAAATGAGTGAGTGAGGATTGAAAGAACAAAGAGTTTACTCTCATTAATGACTGCGCTGGGCTCTGAGATCAGGCAAAAGAGTCATTATTGAGTACATGCCGTTTCAACAGATCGTCTGTTTGATGCATGACATTTTGTAAGATGTTTTACTGGATATTTAGAACCTGTCTAAACTGCAAGCAAACTGAAAATTATGCTTTGTGTGAAGTTTTTTTTTTTTTTTTCCCTGACTTATGAAGACTCCTTGTAATTTGTATGTGTCTGCTTTAAAAGGAGGAGAAAAACTACAGAAAGATTTCATTACCTGTTTGTAAAGGCGTTAGCATTCTGGTGTTGGTTCTTGAACGTTGGTTCTGTTTCTTTGGAAAGGAGAGAAAAGAAACCTATGTAGAGTCTTGCCAAATGAGAGGCTGTCAAAAAAACAAACTAAAGGACATTTTTCAAAAATAAGTTGTGCTAGCTGCTTTTGGATATATTTTAGAAGGTAGAGTCCTTGGTGACAGTCTCCATTATTCCCACAAATAAGAAGTAGATGGAGGTTCACAAATTCTTTTGCTAGGAGCTCTAGATTTTGCAGCATGGTGTTCTGAATGGTTTCTGCTACTAGAGAGGAGCATTCTGTAATTTGGAAAAATAAATGTACCCCTTCAACCAAATGCATGGCAGTCACTTTAAAAAGTTCTAGGGTCAAAAGGGCTATGTTTATAGCAGGGCCAGATAAACTAAGGAAACCTGTAAAATACTGTAGTGATCTGTAAGACATCTCTCTGGTAGTTTGCTACTGTAGTTTTACTGTGCTGCGTCAAACACTGAAATGCTGTCAGCTGATTGTTTTAGGAAATTGAGGAAAGTCTTCTTTCTTGGGTTTTTATGGAGTGCATCAGATAGGTTATAAATAAAGTCAGTTTACTGGCTGATCGATAATGAAATCAGGCTGCAAATCACATGCCATCTTTCTTTTGGATTTAAATGACCTGTTTTGTGATTCCTTGTCTAGGGGAGAAAAATGAAAGTTACCAAGTACTTTGCTTGGCCCATGTTTTGTCGCATTATCTTTTCGGTAGAATGCCCCATTGAGGTCAGTGAGGATTTCTGAGTTAAAAACTGATGGTGTGATAGGCTCTATTTTTATTTGTTTCAGTTGATTACCCAGTGAGGGTAGCATCATTTATCCAAGATGACGGTGTCAGAGTTGAAGGATTGTTTCATTCTGGAAAACACAGTGTATAGTATGGGCAATTACCAGTGCTGCTTTATTTTGTCCAAAGTGATTGTTTGAAACATAGCTGTCTCCCTTGTGTTTGCTCACACAGTCCTAGTATGAATGTTTCACAGAGACAGGAACCAGTCAGGGCTTTTAGAAACAAACTGAACAAATCTAGTGTCTTTTAATTCTTTTTTTTTTTCTAGATCACTTTGTGTAATACCTCTTAATCTTCCTGTAGACTGGGTTGACTCTTGCTGCTTCAGCATTATGTAGAGCAGCCTGACAACGCCAGAAGCAATAGGCCATGTGCTCTTCCTGGGGCTTCCTAGTTTGTAACAAAGCTGGGAATGAAAATTCTGGAGAAGCAGAGAGGGAATGGGTGGCAAGATGTAGGGAATGAGGAGCATGATGGGATAAGAGCTTGAGATCATGGGCTGGTACACAGGAACAAGGAGAGGAGATGTGTTTTAAGATTAGACATACCATGTAAAGACAACAGAGTCAGAGAGGAGAGGGAGAAGCTTAGTTCGTTTCCCCTCCCTGCTCTAGCTACTGCCCTCTTCATTTTTTTAATCTCCATTTTTCCCCATCTTCTCCCTCAGGTGAAACTCCCAGATTTCTGTTCCCATCACCTGACAGATTCTTGACCTAAGAGTTCTGTTACCGAATTTTAGACTGACAAGTGTGGCAGCCTCCTTTCAAACCAGCACACAAAACTCTTGACAGAAATGAAAAATTTGAGCAAACTCCTTAGATGAATAGGAAGCCTAATGTTGGTGGGAAATGCTTTTGCAAGAAAACTATTGGAAATGAACAATAGAGAATCAAAACCCAATATTTCTAAATGTGTACAACTTATGAAATGAAATACCTTGTCGTATTTCTCTCATGCTTTGAAAACAAAAAGAGATGAGGAGGTCTGTTTCTTATGAAATGTATGAGGAGTCTCAATATATTTCATAACCGAATACTGTCCTCTGTTCTCTCTTGTCTTAATGAGGCAAATATGAAACCTGCTTTGTTACCATGACTGGACTTTCTTCATCATGCATGCATGTAACTTCTGGGAGTGGTGCATATGTGCAGGACCGTATGATTAGAAACATAACTTGTGTAGGGGATGAAAAGAGTCTGTGCCTGTGTGTGCAGGTGTGGTACAGCAGCAGCAGGTTGGAAGGCCTGTAGTCTCGTCTACCCACCAGTCTCATTAGAGAGAAGCTATTTGCCACTGGCCAAGTCTGTCTTGGTTGGCAGTTCTGGTTATTTATAGTAAAAAGCCCAAGTCATTTATGCATTAAGGCAAACGCCAGCTCTGCTCACTGAAGTACTTTTGGTGTTTTTCCCCCTTGTAAGTAGGCATGTTAATGCTTGCAGTTATACCTTTCCATTTAAATATTCATTTCAAAAGGTGTGTGTCAATTGTTTTATAATAAACTGCCAAAAAAGGGGGTCTAAGCTTGCTTGCCTCCATCAGGAATTTCCACCCATAGGTTGGCCTGTGTTCCCCACCCCTTGGCTGTGGCCATGAATTCTAATGAACGCTGGCGTAGCTTATATAATGGCATGGCTCACTGGTAGCCTTACAGAGAGGGCTGTAAAAGCGTTGCTGTTTGTCTGGAGCTCTGCAATCAAGAAAAGCTGCATTTCTTGTTTGATTTCATAACTTGGAGTTCAGTCACCACTCGTAAGGGAAGTGTCCCTCTGAGTTACTGCTCCCCCATTATAAGTTGAAACCTGCACTGTAGAACAGGCACTATTAAAAGAAGGGGGTTTGCTGCTTTCTTCACTGTTCGGAGCTGTTGCTTCTTTTTTATTTTGTTTTTCAGATAGGTTATTGTTGCTGGTTTTTTTCCACACTAGACCTATCTCATGTGTGGGTACGTGTGATGCTGAATAAGATAAGGACTCTAAAGTTGTGGGGGTTTTTTTCTTGAAGGAAAAATGGTTTTGGTTGTTTCCTTCTGCATCACTGTTCAACCATAGGATGTGAAGGAAGCCTGAGATTTTTCTTAGCAGTACTCTGACAGAAGTTGCCTCTTCATGGACTGCTGGGTACCTTTTGTTCCTATCCTTGCACTAGTGAGCTCAGAAGAGGAACAAAAGCTAGTCAGGCTTCAAACCCCTAATAGTTCACTTTGTGACTTAAGTATATGCTTCTCTTTCAAATCTGTTTTTTGGCCAGTAATTTGAAAAGCTGTAGTGTTTGGGAAGGAGAGAGGGATTGTGAGCAGCAGAGTATTGTTTATGTTTGCTTTGTTTGGAAAAACAAACAGAAGGCCTTTAATACTTTGAATACAGCATCCTTGAATAATGCAACCTTTTCTGTCCAAAGCCATTGTCAGTGCAGGATAGCCGCTACCTTTCTGTTTTATGCTTTAAAAATGTTCTCTCTGCTGTGTGAGACCAGTAGCTAACTTAGGTTTGTTCCCCAGCATTGCATCCATATTTACATAATACAGCAGACTATACCAGTTAAACTTTTTACAAGCACAGCCCATCCAAGTCAGGACAGGTTACTTTCTTCTGTTGTGCCTATCGCCTGTATCCCTACTTAGTCAGTCTTACACACCTATCCGGGATAGAAACTGTTATGAACACCAACACATAGAGCTTTTTGTACTTTGCCTGTAAGAGGTTTTTTATTTAAGAACTGCTAGTGACTGCTAAGATTGTTATTACTTTTATTTAATCACTACAGTGCTGCCACTGGCTGCAGGACGGCTAGTTTATTCGGTACAATGAAGATGCTTAACTTAATTACGTTGTCTAAATATTCTTCCTTTTGGGGGATATAATCTTTGATGTGGAGAATGCAAAAGATGTGTTCTAAATGTGTCTTTTTTTCCTCCCCTGTGTAGCTTCACTTAGAACAGTCCTGAATAAATCTGAGGTGAAGTTGAGCTTTTATGAAATCTGGGTGGTTTTGTGGCTCTTGCATCACTGTTGCCTTTTGTTCCGCTTTTTAAGCTCATTTGTCTAATGGAAATCTGACATCTGTAGAGTCTGCAGTACTGAGCACATTATGTAAACTGAGGAGATTCACGACTAAGAGAATGTTAACTCAGAGACAATCTCTATTTCTTTTTTAATATAGTTTAGAATTGCATCACCCTACTGCATCTGACTGCATTATATTAATCTTAAAGCCTACGTGTTATTTGGTAAAATGTACTCCCATGAGTACAGGTATAGGCCTGGTGTAGTCTGGCTTTTGAACCTATCCTCTGATCTCTCTCCTTGGTCTTCTACTTTGGGCAGCGTGTTATGAAGTTAGGAAACTTGCCATGCTGGTTTCCTCCATTCATTCCTCAAGTTTGTTGAAGACATCAGGGATGCTAGCTATTGCCAAATGTAGCAGCATGCATTTGTGAAGTTTTGGCAGGGAGTCCCAGCTTATGGGGGATAATGAAACCATTAGGAGTTTTACTGCTGTCCCTTCTTACAGAGAAAGCTGCTTTTAAATAATCCATCTGATTGTTAGAAAGTTGAAACAACTGAGTTTGTTGCTAACGGCTGCTTCTTAAAGCACAGTGCTCAGGAGTGAATGTGATTAGCCTATTCTATGAACCTCAGGCAGAATTCTATGATTCTATGCACTTGCCCATTTTTCTCCTCCACGTGTCTTAACTTATTCCAGAAAGTTACTGGGCCAACTACTAGCTCCAGCCAAGCGATTCCAGAACCGTACTGTCCAGCTTCTCAAAAACGAGCTGTGGAAACTGTCTATATTTCTATTCTCCCTTCCCGGAGCATTAGTGATACATGTACTGAAGTACAGAAGGCAGGGTAAACATGATGCCAAGCCAGCTGCTTTGTATGATTGCTTTTTTGTGTGGGTTTTTTGTTTGTTTGTTGTTTTTGTTTTTTTTTAGGAAAGAGGCTGTAGTTGTTAATGGGCACCTCGAGGAGGGCTCATAAAGTCTTACAGGTGACTGCTGTTTTTCTGTCCTGGCTGAAAGGACAGTGTTCTTTTCAGTATCTCTGGTGATGGGGCAATAGAGTAGGCTTCAGTGCAGGCTTCTAAATGTGCTTTGAATTCTCTTGCAAACGGCTGTCTGCTGATTGCAAGAGATGTTAACAGTAATTAGTCTGAGTAACCCTTATCGTGGCTCAGTACGCATTCAGGCCTTTTATCTATATTGCTGCTCAGGGATTTTGCCAAAATCTAAAAAGCTTAGATCACAGTAAGGAAACAGGTATTCAGCAGGGTCTGCTTCCACTGAAGCATGATGCACTGTGCTGCTGGCTGTTTGTTAAACTTCCTTTGCAGGCTTGTAGCAGCCGTCTGCACTACTGAAGTAGTAAAATTTTGAAATCAATAATGCATGACTTGGCTTCTAATAATACAGCACAAACAAACTATTAGTTAAACAGCTGGCTTCTAGCTCTAAATGTGTAATCGGAGTTAATTGAATCCTTGCTATTTTATTTAATCATTAGTAACTACATAATAAACTCAGGAGGTGATTAGCAGGAACACTAAATGCATTTCTCATATCTCTTGTCTGAGAAAATGAAGGTCTATTTTCTAAGCTTTAATCCAAGCTGATATCAGTCCAGCTATATAACAGTAAGGTTCTGATCAATGTGTGATAAGTCAGTATATATCAGTGAGTTAGTTGAGACTTCCTGACCACTCTGAAACTGGGGAGCTGATGCCAACAGGACTTGTACTCAAATGGTTTTCGCAGCTAGCAGACTTTTCTTCTGAAGGCATTGTAGTTGGATGAGTGGTCATTGAACTAAAATGTCTATTTTGGAAGCCTTAGCTGTAAAATGCTATTAAATTTAAACAAGTGTACTTAAATATCTCCTTGAAGGGCACTAACTTAGAAATATTGACAAGTAATACTGATTTATCTCAGAGTCTACACTATTTTGGAGTTAAAGCTAAAATATAACACAGTTGAGTTTGACCTGCAAATGGCCTTAAAGACACATCTTGTGGCATGTAATAGGTAAAGCGTGTTAGATCAGCTGCTAAGGCTGCTGTCTTAAATGACTCTTCATTTCCTCTTCTAAAAAAATATATTGTCTTTCATGAGTCCCCTATATAAGAAATAGTTTTGAAGATACCGCTGTAAGTATGAGGTGCTACAAATGTACTTTAATGTTATGTCTTCAGTATTATACTGAAAAGGCCACTTCTCTTTTGCAGTAAACTGGGAAACAGTATGGAGAGCCAATACCAAAAAGAAATTCCGAGTTCATACCAATATGAACAGGAACGTGGCGCTTCTGCGAATATTCCCAGGAATAACTGCTGCTGCTGTGAGTGCCACCACGGAGGTTTGGAAGTGGATGAAATGATGCTCAAATACTTGATTAGTAAGCTAAGTGGGGATGCTACGCTGTTGTAGCAGTGGTTGGGTTTTAGAAGGAAGGGAAATAATCTGTTTTCTGATAAACATTTTCTGTAACATCAGAGCATTCAAAGACTATTTTCATGACCTACAGTCTATTAGTAAAACCTTTCAGAGTTTCTTTTATCTAAACTTTCTGGGCTCTGAAACTTAAAATTAATTTCTTATAAGGGCTTATAAATAAATAGATGAAGTGTGCTTTTCTGGAGAAGCATAAGCTTCAGTGATGGTGGAAATGTTTCTTGCTGCATATTAGGGCACACTAATACATACCTTGCCAAAGAATACATGATTGTGGAGGTGAGTGTGATTTCTTCCACAGCTCATGCTTGCTTTTCAAGGTTCATTTCATCTCATACTGGTGGTTAGCATGATTCTCAGCACTCATACAGAGCTCAAGATGAGGAGTAGGATTTTCCTGCTCTGAGCCTTTAAAAATTGTTTTACAGAACTATGGGTTTAGGTGAATTTGTCTTTAAATTTTTGTTTAGTACCACTTCCATTAAATTGATGGGTCTTTCATGAGTGTTGCCAATTTAAATTGAATCCAGTAGTTTAAGAAGCACTCCTCAGTTATATTACCATTCTTTTTAGGTGAATATGAACAGATGGAAAGGCAGAGAGGTGGTATATTTGCAATAAAACTCCAACTGAATAGCTAGTCTCACAGGGACTTACAGTGTATTGTGTTTAGCATATGTGATCAGCGAGGAAACGTTTAGATTGTATAAAATATATTTTTCTAGGAACAAAAATTAGCAAGGCGTTTTCTTAGAACGAGGCACAATAGCTATCATGTTAACAGCAGTCCCAGAAAGATTTTGAACCTGCATTAAATCAATTGCTTTTTGAGTTAAAAACAAAACAAAACAAAACCTCCATGCCTCAGTAGAGTGTTCTTTCCTGAAAGGTGAGATACTCCTTCTCTTAGGCATGTATTCGTTTGCAGAACTTTGCTAAAATGAAAAATCTGGGCAGTGGTGGGAGTTCTAGATTGAAATAATTCTGTTTTTATTTTGTAAGTGTAAATCTACCCTTTTGTTCCACCGTGGTGCAACATTATAGCCCGTTAATGGCCCTTAAACAATAGCATCCTTTCTCACACTGAGGTCACAATCGTGGAAAATAGTTTATTTTAAAATCTATCCCTGTAGGAATTTGAAAGGAAAATAAGAATTTGGAATGCACATTTTTTTAACGTTTTTCTTCAGTCCTTGTTACTGCAAACGAGGAGTACAGAAGGGCATGAGAAGACTTAGGCATGAGAGCCTATAAGACTGTACCAGGAAAAGCCTACTTTTTATAACTGCCATATAAGAAAATCTTAATGTGATGTAAACACAGCTTTCATCTCTCTTTGCTGTCTTGTTTTTAAACAGGTGAAAGCATTTCTCCAGCCTCCAATCGAAGGCATTGTACTTGAAACTTATGGAAGTGGCAATGCCCCGAATAGCAGAGAAGACTTGCTAGAAGAACTTAAGAGAGCAACTGAACGAAAAGTAGTGATTCTAAACTGTACCCAGTGCTTGCGAGGGTCTGTTAAAACAGTCTATGCAACAGGGCAGGTGAGGGTTGTGCAATGATTTCAGATTCTACTTCTGTGTAAAAGACATTTTGCTGATATAATCGTGATTTATGCGTCAAGTAGCACCGATGTATGAAGCCAGATTTGTTACACTGTGAAGATGCTGCTCGTAATATAACCATATTAGAAAAATATTAAGCTGTAAGCGTGTAAATATATATCTAAGAACACAGTCCTGTTACTCTCAGCCTGAATGGTCTACGTATTCACCTCAAATCCCAAATCACTGACTACTTTCTCCTGTCATGAGCAGCACTCCAGGGTACCTTACATTAGATTATTAGTGTCTGTCCCCAGGGCATTCCCTGAGCTAGAATCTAGCTTGTGGATCAGATGATCAAATAGAGTAATACTTGATAGGCCTGTGATTACTTAGTCACAATGTAAGAACAGCAGGAAAGCATGCAAATCCAAGCAGTATTCTAAATAATCAGTGTTTATTTGACTGGAAGTGCAACTGCATTCAGCGGGAAGGGGAACAATGTGTAAGGAAGCATATGCCTTGCAGAGTGGAAATCAGTTGTATTTAAGCTGTCGATGCTCTTACTATTCAGGACATTTTCTAGTGAGTTTCTTAATTGTGTGTTAAGATATGACATCACTGAGATTAATAAGAGCTCAAAATTCTATGAGAGTATGTGATACATATGGTGGTGTGAAGGAAGCTGGTTTGGCTGGCCTTTATAACAGCCAGCCATTATGTATCCAGGAGGCACTGCTGTAGGGTGATGCACGGCCCTGTTTTAGGCACCTGTTTTAGTTGGTAGTAGTCACCTGTCCAGCAGAGCGTATCCACTGACTACTCTCATCATTGGTCGCTCTTGACATGACTGTAAGGCAAACCTAGGTCCTCTGAACTGATGTTGAAACCTGCCTATTTTAACATTGGTTTTGGCACAGCTCTAGGTTATATTTGCTTTAAGAATAAAGTCTGTTTTGAGCAGAAAGAAAAGCAATTGTCAGGGGTTTTTATTTTCACCTTTTTGGTATTCTAACTTCATATACTGTGATATGAGCAGTTCTTTGGGTGTTAGTAGAATTTTAGCTAAGTTAAGGGGGAACGTTTTGAAAGTATCAACTTTAGGAGAGATCTCATGCTTTGTAGCAACTATGATAGAATCATTAAGGTTGGAAAAGACCACAGAGATCATATAGTCCCACCATGCCCGCTAACCATGTCGCTCCGTGCCAGGCTTTTTACGTTCTAATCCTGACTGTTTGTTTGTTTAATTGAAGGTTCTACTCATGTCACTAGCATTTGTCTTACCAAACATGTAGGGCCATGCAGAAATGTATTCACTTCTGGTATCCATCTATTACACTGAACATTTAATACGTTGCTTCAGCACCCATTGATGGAGGCTGTCCTGTTTTCTTGTCATCTTTCGAAATGCTGCTGAGCAAGCCAAATCCTACAGAATTACTTAGTGCTTACTTTTTTCATTGCCTTTTCTTTTTCATGAGAAACTGTTTACTGGAGGAAGTATCGTGGGTGAATGCTGGAAACGAACAATAATACATATATTTTTTTCTTTAAATATAACCTTTCACAGGTCTTTGCATGTGGCTAGGCTCTTTTTTACTCATCTAGTGTGTAAGCTGAGTCGTTGGTTTTATTTAATGAACTGAATGCCTGGCTTCTGAACCATCTGCAAAGCAGAAACTTATAATTGAGGAGACTTAAGGTATAGGAAGAAAGCTGGGAAATCCCTTCATCCTCCTTCCTAAGCCTACTGAAAAAGCACTAACTGTTATTCAGTTAGCTCTCCAGAACAGAGAGTATTTCTCATCTTCTTTATATTTGTTTTTTTCCATATGACTTTCATATTGGTCTGGGGCTCTCAGAGATGTTAATATGCTGATCAAGTCTCTGAAATATTAGTTAAGTCACAAGTTCCAAAGATGAAGTTTATACACAAGGCACTTAAAAGTAGATCAGTGTAAAGAAGCTACTGCAAGATGTTTAGCTGTGAGGCATCATGTAATGGCAAAGCTAATGGCCTATAGTTTATAGAAACCTGAATGTTTGCCCATGTACAATTTACTGATGGGATCAGAAATCTTCTTTATCTCTTATATACTTATGAAGCTTGCTAACCACAGTAAAGATGCTTGAGCTTCTTACTCTGGTTCAGTCGCTGGTGTGCTTTTATTAACTACCAGCAAGATAAGTTTAAAATGTTGGGCCATCTTTTTCAGTTGTTCTCATCACAACTGCGTAGATTACACATTTTAGTTGCATGTTCTAAATCACACAATGCTCGTGCAGCCTGAAAGGATATGAAAGCACTCCTGCTGTGAGCGCACTGTAATGCTGGAACTCATCCAAAGATATGCCCCATAAAAGAACGGTAAATATGTCGGAGTAAGAGCAGCCTACTTGGCAGTGTTCACAACGCCACTGGGTTAAAATGGAGTAACTGCAGCTTTTTAGTAAAAGTAATCTGACAACTCTGCGGATAGCTGATGCAAAGCAGTGACCTTTCCCCCTGAGCACAGTCAGTGACCGTGGCAAGGCTGAATTCTTCAGTGTTGCTGTGTGAAAAGGAACGTAAAGTATAAGCCAGCTTTATTCAGCTGGCTCTAGTACTTGCCCAGTATTTGATAGCTAAGATTACAGAAATTACAGTGGCAGTAGGAGTAAAAGTGCGGAGGCACGGCTGCATGCTGCATTCTGTATTGCTGCACATTCATGTCCGTCTTCTGTACACACTGATATTTCTGCATGCTATGCTAATTGGAGCCATTATTTCTTTTCCTTCAGACTCTCGCTGATGTTGGAGTAATTCCTGGGTGTGATATGACACCAGAAGCAGCCTTAACTAAACTGTCATACGCGCTCAGCAAGAGTGAGCTTAGCTGGGAGGAGAAGAGACAGGTAAATATTTCAGTGTGACCTTGAAAGGCTTTAACTTTCTCATCTACTGTGCTAACTTCTGCTCAGCTGTATGCTTTGAGATTCTCCCTTCCATTTAAAAACAGTTGGTTCCAGAGCCATTATGTGAACATCATGTTGGTTTTTTTCTTATAGAAAATACTCTTAGGCAAAGAAATGTATGTAGATTGGGGAAGAAAAGAATTATCTGCATAAATCAGTTGAAGGCTATGACCAAGCCATAAAAATGCAGTAGTCTGCGTTAGAGATTTCCATACAAAAGAATATGTGTGGAAATTAATAAGGGAGGCAGAATCCTAACTCTCCTGATGTCAGCAAAGATCGTGTCGTTGATATTAGTGGTAAAGCTACTTTTAAAAATGAATGGTATGTACAACCTCTTCCTTTACAGTACTACTTCTGTGAGCTTTAGGGATGCATTTTATAAATACATCCAAAGTAGAGGATTATTTTAAGAACCAATCATAATGTATTTAAAAATCTTAGCCCCTTTAACATAGCTCTTTCTGTCCATCGTTGTTTAATTATGGCGTTTTCCTCTAAATGATAAAGTTCCTGTATACAAGGAACACAGAGCTGTGAATTAGGTGGGGGAGCAGCAGACTACAGGAATGCATGTGTTTCTGTGCCTGCATGCAGTGAAACCAAAATCATGACACTTTGGGAGATGACATCACAGTGAGTCACTCTCTTGTCTTCAGCACTGAGTGCACGTGTATATCTAATGATATTCGTGGTTTGGTTTTTTTTTTAACTAAAATTGAAAGAAATTTGACCTTGATTTCATGCTCAGTAGGAACTCTGAGACAAGCATGTTAGGGTACCTGTGACCATAAGTGGGTGACTGGAAGTACCACGAACTGTACTTGGAAATACTTTCAGTTTCAGAGCTTTGTGTTGTTTGCTGAAGTCCTTACTCTGAAAAATGAGAGGAGGAGAGGCTGTGGTTTTTTTTCACTGAGGATGGCAAGAACATACTCTGTGCAACAACATGCTAAGCAGGCAGCATGACGTTGCAAGTTGTGGTACTGCATGTGTTTGTGTATATACACTTCAGAAACTCAGGCTCTTTACTGATGCCCCCCTGGTAGACTCACTGACCCCTGGAATACACGTATACTAGCCTCTTTCTTAATGCAGACTTTAATCTTCTTGCACAGAGGATCATTTGACCTGGAACCGGAGAAACTTTCCGGCTGACATCCTGCCTAGGTGTATGGGTTAAAACTTAATTTGAGATCCAGTTTGCCAAGGCGAGATAGCTGAATTATTCAGGTGAGGACTTGGTGACACTACGTTTTAGGTACCACTGGCGCATGGTATTCCTGCATCATCTGTAACGTGTTACATGGTGTTATGAGGTAGTGCTGCCAGCTCCCTTACACGACTTGAAAAATAAATAACTTTTGCAGTTTCTCTGAGTTAAGCAGGACCGTTTTCCTCATTTGTCTCACTGTACAGACTCACAAACAGTTGTGTTGGCACAACTAAGGGAGCAACATGCTACATTGCCTGGGCAGGAATGAGTGGTAGAGATCAGGAGAAGAAGAAAGCCTGGAAATATGTTGTCTGTGGCAATATCCTCAGCTAAGCATATCCCCAAACAATGGTCTCCCAAGAGACAGAAGCTCTCCTGAAGCTGGAGTGGTTATTTTAGGATTCTCTTTCAACATGAAGAAACAAGGAATGTGCCCCTAGATACATGCAAATGGCTGCACAGCTGGTAGGTCTGAGTAAGGCACACAGGATTTTTGCATTGGATGCTTTTAGCATCGGTGCCAATTGCTAGGGTTACTTGTGCAAAGTAATGATCTCAACCTGTCAAACTCTAAAAGTGTGCCAAAGCAATTGGTATCATCCGAGCGAGTTACATGTACATGGGACTCTTCCAGCAGACAGCTATAGTGTTGTCAGCGCTTGGGAGCTTTTTTTGTAATAAAGGGCATGCCTAGACATAAGTGAACCTGGGGCATTCCTCCTTCCAACATCACATCTGTTTTTGCAAACTTTCACAATCCTGCTTTTTAAAATTCTAATTGAAGCGACTACGTGCTTTGTAGCTGCATCAGCAGCCCGTAGTGAAAGGGTGCCAATATGTAAAATTGTGAATGGCTTCTCTCCTTGTTCTCCAGATTTCATAGAGCCTGCTTTTCACAGCATTTTAGTTTCTTTATTGTCATGTTCCAGCAATTTCTACACGTGATTTGGCTGTCCATTTTTGTTGTCTCTTGTTTTTTCCTGCTTGCATCAGATGCTCTCACACTGCATACTATTCACACCTGCTTTGTGATTAAGTAATGAGCACTATGACAGAAGCTCTGCATTGAAAACTGGTTCTATGGCCAAAAATGTTAACAAAATCGGGGCTACTGGAGCTGTTTGAAAATCAGTTGGAATAGATGACTTCCACAGGCAGCACTGGGCTTTGTTTTGAGGCCTAAGCGTAGTCTGTGTAGGAGTACCGGGTGTTGGCAATGCTGGCAAAAGGCAATATTTCAAAATATTCTGGTCTTCCGCCTTGCTCTGCTAATTACTCAATATCTTTGTGTTTTAAGTAGCATACTCCATTAGGGAACTTCTGTCTGCATATTCTAAAAACTGAGGTGTTTTGCTATGTGCTTAGTTTGGTTTTTTGCTTTGGAAGAAAGTTTTATTTGCCTGTCCCTTCCCTTCCCCCCCCCCCCCCGCTCTTTTTAAACTTGCAATCTTCATGGGACAGTAACAATTTATTTAATCTTCTGTCTGCGTTCAATTACTTTCCATAATTCCTCCAAACAATCTTCTTAGTTGATCCTAAGGTTATTTTATTAGACTACTACCATATTTTCCTTTGCTAACAAAGGATTTGATTGCTTGCTTTTCAGATGCTGAGTGAGAATCTAAGAGGAGAAATGACTGTTGTACCCACAGGAGCCAAGATCTCTCTCAGAGATAGCAAGTTTATTCAAGTGATTGCCAGATCTCTAAGTATCAGCTGCAAGGAGGTATATCTTTAAATATTTAAACCCAAACTCATGTAAATCTATAAACTCAGTTAAATGAACCTAGTTTACAGCTGAAAGAAAAATGGAACACTGAAACTTTTAGATTATTTTTTCAGTACCAAGTGCCCCAGCTAACCAGCTGGGGTGGAGAGAAAGGACACAATGACAAGCAGGGCATTAAAATGGTTTTAATTAAAAACACATTAAATTTGCTGTTTTGTTAGTTGTTTTTTTTTTTTTTTCTTTCTTTGTAGCCCCATCTTGACTTTATTTTCTTGGCTGCCTGGCTACAATAACAAGCCTCAGACAGTTGCTGTAATTCAGGGTATCAATGATATGAAAAAGTGCTGTGTGTTTTTGTGGTCAAATGTATTGACAGTTTGGAGCAAGCCAAATAATAAGGGGTATAACAACTTAATTGTGCATGCAGTCATAGAAGGATGATACTGAGGAAGCGTTACACAAGTATAATTTGTGGTTTTTAATATTAGTCTCAATTGGAAAATCAGAAACTATAGTACTGGTTCTTAGATACAAGCGTTTGCTTTCCTCTTGACATGTTTTGAGGGAAGATGAGATTTTTAATAGCTATACAAATACTGAATTTATTTAGTTCTTTAGTATGAGAAATGGGAGGTTTGGAAGTACAGATTACACAAATATCTGAGGACTCACATGACTAAAGTTGATTCATTCTTGACGAGAATAAATGATAATGATCTCCTCTAACTCCTACCAACCCTGTTTCTCTTACTGTACTGATGTGTAACTGTGGCAGGGCAGAGATGGTAATTAGTATGTGCACTTTAAATGGTATATATAGATACCAGGTAATTGTAGTGTTGCTAGGGAGGAATATAAATCATGGATGGGAGAGATACAAAATGTAAAGTAAACATGAGACTTCTTTCCTTCCAAGAACAAAATGCTACCATTTTAAAATATCCAGATGACTAATTTGAAAACTTTACATGAAAGTGTAAGGGCAGAGTTTTTATGACTTAGATTTTAATCACATTACAGGCGAGACTGATATTAAATGTTTGCTTTTATTTGTTTCTCAGGAGTTAGAAGCTGTAAGAGATGCATTAATTCCACCTTTGGCTTGTGCTGCAGCTAAACTGGGTGACATAGACGCACTGAGAGCCATAGCAGAAATGGTAATGTGAAATTCACAGTTTGTGAATAAGTATTCAAGTAGAGCTTGAATATAGGAATATTGTACATGATAGGAGGAAGCTAATGCTCTCTGGGAAGCAACGATATAGGTCTTAAAATCAAGGTGCTTTGACTAATAGAACTAGTTTCTAGGCACTTCAGACTTTGCCTTCAAAACTGGTGTGTTCTTTCCTCTATCTGGTTCTCAGCTGCTTTCATTTTCTTTTGAACTGCAAAAATACAGGTAGATTAATATGCAAGTTCTTATCTGCTAACTTTGGAACACTTTAAAATGATTTGTGCTGCCTTCTTTCATTTAACTCTCTTTATGCATATTCATAGTATCCAGCTTTTGGATGTAAATCTGTCGTGATTTAAAAAAAAAAAAAAAAAAAAGAACTTGGAAATTATATTTAAGTGAAATGCAGTGCAGTGTTAAATCAGGATTTTGGCTCTCCCCATAGCTCTAGCTTGGATTATACTTGAAAAAAGAAATACCTATTACCCTGTATCATTTTCTACACCTCTTTCTTTTAATTTTCCTTGTTCTAACTCTAGTCTAGAGGCTTTGATAATGGGTCTAGAAAAAGGATAAATGTATCTTGAAAATAACAATAAATGTAGACCAAATTAGGAGACTCTATGCACAAAGCTGCTGTGTGACGTAGAGCAGCAAAAAGCCTATCTGAGGGGGCTGGAATGAGAAAAGGAGAGTGAAATAAATACCTGTACTGGTGCTAGAAATATCACTATGAGATAAACTTGTAAGCTTAATATTTTGGCGGTACAGCTTGTCATGGTTTGCTGTACCAACAATTTAATGTGCAGCCACTGCCTTTTTAGCATGTGAAAGACCTGTCCTTTTGTAGGGTGGAAACCTAAGCTGTGAAGACTATGATGGCCGAACTCCACTTCATATTGCAGCCTCTGAAGGGCATTTACCATTAGTTGAGTATTTGTTAACATCTGGTGCAACTGTTTACGCTAGAGACAGATATGGATCTACCCCACTGATGAATGCGATCAAGTTCAGGTAACAATTTCTATACCACTTTGTGTTAAGCTTATAAACATTACATCAATTTGAATGTTAAAGTCCATCCCTATTTTTTTGGCCTTGTGTTGTCTCAGCGATCATGTGTAAACGACAGCAGTGAAAATAACACAAAACAGCTTTGTTTCAAAGGATGTGACTAGCCTAAATTAAAACTATTTTTGAAATGACAGAAAATTAAAGCAAAAAACTTTGTACGCATGTGGAATTTTAGCATAAGGTGACTTATTGCTGCCTTCTTGCCAAGGCTTTGTCCGTAATTTCAGGTCTCCACTTTCTGCTATGAGGCTTCTTTATAAAACAGAGCCAAACTCATTTTGACTGTCAGAAGTGCGAACGCAGGACCCTGGGCAGTTTGTTTTTTTTCTGCCCTCCCCTTTCTCATCAAGACCAGACTGTTTCAATTGGCACAAAATATACTGGTAGGTTGTCATGTTTTAGTCTTTCCTTTTCACCTATGCTTGCTTGAGTCTCTTGCTGGGTGACTTTTTTGTTATATATGTTTTTTTCTCTCTTCCACCCACTCGTAATAATATGAGATGTCTGTGTGGCTCTGCCTGCTTTGTGGATTTCCTCTTCCTGTTGTTCTGAATGTCAGTAGTTCTTGAATGATAGTCATGGACAAGTGATGTACTGGTCTTTTCCATGTTGCATGCTCTTAAGGGACGGCCATGACATAGTGTGTAAAAGTTATCATTTAGGAGACATTTAATTTTAAAATAGTTGTTTTTTATAGCCTGGGGAGTCATAGAGCCACTGGTCTTCCAACGTGTTAGAAGCTGCATGCCCTAATCTCTTGTTTCTTTGATCCACTTTCAGCTCCTTATCTCATATTCAGTCTGTATGATGGCAGGAGAGAAGCTATTTTACATAAAGGAGCTTGGAGTGGTAGAACTGTAATGGTCTTCATGGGTGTCTGTCCCCAGATATTCCTACAGCTTTCTCACGTTGACAAGTTCACCTGGTCTTTCAGGCTGGAGACTGCTCCCTGGCAGGTCTAACAGCCATGTTTTTGCATTGGCTACAGAAGTAACTTTTTTGCCTGTCTCAACCACCAGATGCAAGAAAACTCAACAGGCCATGTTAACTTGAGATTTTAAGTCCTGTTTGGCCCCACTGTGCTACTGCCATACCTGCTGCATGATCCCCTATGGATTCATAAGTTGTTGCTTAGTCTTATGAATATATGAGCTCTTCAGTGGCAAACCCTTGAAGTCTTAAAGCGAAAACAAGCCCAACAGCAAATCAAACAAATAACCTCATAGCTGAATAGAAGTGGCTCTAGTCCAATGTGAGAAAATGCTAAAACGTTAGATACCATTAGATGTTCCTGCAAATCAGGCACCTACTTTTTTTTTTTACCGCACCCAACTACCGCCTGAGGAATTTCACATGAGCTTGTTGTTTGGATTCTTTAGCATTGCCACTCCTATATTAAGACTCCTGCTATGACTCTTAAGCTCTTTAAAACTGCACACACATTTTGATATTGGGAACTGTAAAAGGAAACTGAACCATAACCATTTTCAGTTTCTCTTTTTGTTTCAACTGCTGTAATGAGAGGAAGAGTTGACTTGGAAGTAATTTCATAATTTTGTGTTTATGATCTCCTGTGTACTCACACTGCGTTTCGCTCTGATAAGCCTGCAAGAAGATGGGCAAAGATCAGACAGCTTTATGTGTGTGTAATTAGATACCCACTAAAAAGATTTGAGCTACAGAAATATTTAAATTCTGTTTATTAAATGGTTGCGTGCTGAAAGTGAAGATTATCCTGATGCAATGTACTGTGTGCAGAAAGGGAAGGGGGAAAACCAACTTTAATGAGCAGTCAGTGCTTTATAATGTTTCATATTGTAACTTTCTCAATTTTACTGAATATTGCATCAGCTTAATCCCATTTTCTGAGAATTAATATTTGCTTAATTGGAATATAATTGCAGTACAGAATCCGCTCATCTTAAAAGCAGCTTTCCTTCAGTTTTCTATGTCACATTGTTCAGCAGCTTGCCTTTTGACCTAGCATGTAAATCTGTGTAATGATGACTGATTTTCCTTTTCCATTTCATAACGTGTAAAGATGATCAGGAGTTATGTCTCTTCTTAAAAGCATCCTAACATAGTCCTGACACTTATAGATCAGCAATTTGATCTATATCAATGGTAGTCTCTTAAGTTTGTTTGTTGTTGTTTTGGGTTTTTTTTACTCTACGTGACTCTTTATTTCTGTAGATGGTAAAATGTGGAGTCCAGTTCTAAATGAGAAATGAAGTACTGCATTTCCGCTTTTTCATTTGTAACTGCAATTTACATGTAGTCTCATTCACTTTATGCATGAAGTTAAACAGACCACTGTTAATTTAGGCCAGTTGCTTGACATATCAAAATTAGTAGCGTTCTTTTAACTTCTTAGAGTACCCTCCAGGGATAATTCATTTTCAAAACAATAGAATAATATTTTCTTAATAACAGAAACTTTTCTAAGCAGGAAAATGTCTTGAATAAAAACTGTATATTTTATGTAGTAAAAGCACTTCCCTTTACTTATAGCACAGTGGTAAGAGGTTGAAAACAGGGAGTTTCTGGTGTGCTGCTGTCAGATTAGAGGCAGTAAAATTACCTCCCACGTAAATAAAAATTTAAATACTTGATATTTTGCAAGGTTCCATTTACATTACTTCAGGAAATGGAAGGCAGAGCGAGAGTTTAAACACTGAAGTTTAGAAAAGTATTCTGAAGTTTGTCCTTACAATCCTAGAGCATAAAATTCCCACTGATACTCTGTAGAAAACTGAAGAAGTGAAACTAAGCTCATCCTGCCATAACCATTGCAGTTGCTAGGGAAGCAAGCATTAAAAAGAATGAAGCCTGTCAAGTTTGGATATACATTACACCTGCATTTCTTTAAAGAGAGCTGGTGGAAGGTGTATACCCTAGGGCCCCAACCTTGCAAACTCTTACATGTGTGTTTGTTTCACATGTGTGATTCATGCCTTTTGAAGTCGATTCCCTTCTGTAAGTGTCTGCCAAGTCAAAGCCTAGGATGATACGTACGGTGCAGCTTCGTGGTGGCTGCAAAGTCAGAGCCAGAAGTTCTGGTGTCTTTATCTGGATCTTAAATTTTGAGCATGGGAATGGATATTTGAAGACCACACTAAACCCTTTATTTTGCTCTTCAGTCATTAAAATACTAGTTTACTTTTTTTTTTATTGTTATTATCATATATGTTTTTTTAACCTTCAGTGTTATCATTAGTAATAGAATCAGAGCAGGGGAGACACTAGAAACACTTCTGGTCTGTTATATTTTCCATTCGAGAGCAAATAAATGTCAGTGGCAGTATCAAAAAGCTAATTTCAGTAACATGAAATAGCACTGTTTGTATGGGCTGTGTCTGAGCCAGAGCCATGGTTAGGTAATAGAGGGAGCTAAGGAAAGGCAGACAGGAGCAGCTCGCAGGCACCGCGCGTGCTCATGGTTTTGCTTAGTAGATGAAGCTGGACTGGACAAGCAGCTCTGCGCTGCAGGTTAACATGGAGACATTGGTCTTTTCTCTAAACTTATACTTTAATTATCCAGCAGTTGCACTGCTCTTGGTTGTGTGCTGTCATGTTAGAAAGGGAGTCGCATTTGAACCATTGCCAGGAATTTTATTGCTCATGACATCAGTTAAACCGCTGGTCCTTCTGAGGCTTTAGCAAAGCCATAGAAGAGCAGAAACAACGTCTGAAGACAAATACCTCTCTTGTGCATAAGACATATCAGCAAATGCACTGCCAGCCTCTCGAAGTCTGAATAACACTCTTGTGGGTAAATATAAGAAGTGATAGAGCTGGATAGGGCTTAAGTTTTTTGAGAATATAGATGCCATTTGAACGCAAATAGGAACAAGCTGCTGCACAGCTTAGCCCCACATAGTTCTCACATTGAGTGATGGGAATGTGAGTGGTGGTCTATGCTTTCTTGCTCTTCATAGTCACAGTACCAAATTTAACACTTTTCAGCTAATTACTGGTCTAAGAATTCATAAATGTAGAATTCATTCTCCTCTGCAGGCTGAAAAATAGGATGCAGTGTCATTATTTACTTTCTCAAGGGGATGCCTGTGGGTGACAAGCTGTGTTATAAGGGACCTTCCTGAGAAAATATTTCGGATAAACAACTTGTGGTGCTTGCTGTTATAGCAATGCTTTGCCTGCCATGACATATATATGTATATATATTGAAATTAAGTACATTTTGAAAAAATACATCTGATAGGGCAAATAACTCATGTTTGGAAAAGCAAAATGATTCCCACATTGCCACTACAGTGTTTGGTTTTTAATTTATAAGGATAGACCTTACATGGAATATATAAGATTACACAGACTTAATCTGGATAATGTTAAAGTAACTTCTCATTCAAGATGCAGTTTCTTGAAGAGAAGCAGTGGAATTAAGTAAGCAGTTTAGTCCAGTTCTAAAATGGGAAGGCCTGTGGCTACCTCCAAGAAAATGCAAGTGATGTAGCACAAATAAGTGAACTTACTTGTTATTTTGAATTAATACAGATGAGTTTTGGCAGTAGCTTGAGAAACTTCAAGTCTTTTCTTCAACACTCTAATTCTCTAAGTATGGTCTAGTAATTTATTTGAAAGAGGAAATAGGAAATCTGATCTGCTGATGCCATCTTGCCCTTTCGGGAGAAAACAGTATGCTTTTAGGTTTGTGACCCAGATTATTTGTTTGGCAGAGGAGCACAGTCACCTCCCTTTGGAACCAAGTTCCAAACCTTCCATTAGGCCACTTGTGAAAATGTATTTTGTGATTTTTTTTTTATCTGTCATGTTATTTTCTACCCAGGACAGTATCTTAGAGGCTGGCCTTGTCCATAGCTTGGCAGAGTTTCTGTGGAAAAGGGAAGGAAATTTGTTTCAGAAATTTCTCAAAATCTGTGATTGTTTCTTTTTCTTTTCTGTTTTTTTTTTTTTCTTAAAGGCACATACAGGTGATCAATTTATTACGAGAAACAGGAGCGCATCTTTCAAGCCATGACTTGGAGAACATTGGAACAATACTTTGCAGGTAAATGTGATTTTAGAGAAGGTGGGGCCCTAAAATTGAGATGGAAGGGAAGCATTTTCCAGAGGAGACTCTCAGAATGGAGAACAGCTTTCAAGGAAGTTATTCCCTGTGTCCCTGGCACATGACATGTGACTCCTCCTGTGCGAAACTAATAATGAAGAAACAAGAGAGTGATGAAATTTATTATCAACTCTGTACTGCAACACCAATAAGTCAAGAGGGCTCCAAAGTAAAGAAATATTGTCAGGATAAGTGACCGAGAAGACAGCACACAGTTTTTTGCAGGCAATGTCAATCTCAAACAGTGAGAAGGAAATAGATTTTTGAATAGCATCTCTATTTGAAAACAGAGTTGCCCATAGTGCATAGTTTTTATTAAAATAAAATCCTGTTGTTGCTTGATGGGAGCGGCTTTAACAAGTGTCTTTCTCAAAATATGTAGGTCAAATGCATTTCAAATGCATTTCACTCCAGAACAGCAAGTGCTCACCACCTCTGTATTTAATTTTAAGCGAATATAATCTTATATTACAGCAGTACAGTTGCAGGTTTTACATACAGTTGCTGTTAATATATCTATGTGCTTTAATGCTAAGGGTACATATCACAGAATCACAGAATCACCTGGGTTGGAAGGGACCTCAAGGATCATGTAGTTCCAACCCCCCTGCCTAGCAGGGCCACCAAACGTACACATTCAGATCAGGTTGCCCAGGACCCCGTCCAACCTGGCCTTGAACACGTCCAAGGATGGGGCATCCACAACCTCCCTGGGCAGCCCGTTCCAGGGCCTAACTACTCTCCTTGTGAAGAACTTCCCCCTAACATCCAACCTAAATCTTCCCTCCCTCAAATTGGATCCATAATATTTCATACATATATGTATATATGTATATATTTCATACATATATGCATATATATAATATCCATACATATTTCAAAAAGAAATTGATACCAGATTTTGTGTTTTCCCTTCAAGGTTTTGAGTTCAAAATTGTGAGAAGGCTTTTATTAATTTCCTAACATTATTGGTTGTTTTTACTTCATTTCTTCTTCTCCTCTGAAATACAAACAACAACAAAAACATCCCTCAATACAAGCCTCTGTATCAGGGCGGGGCAAGTCTCAATTTGAGGACTGCACATCATCCTCAAATCTATAAGGTCTGGGTAAGTATGTATTATTGTAGGGACCGAACCCTGTTCTTTAAATAATTCCAGAATGAACAAATACAAGCTGAAGGTTTTGAGTTGTTGTAATTTACTCAGGGGAGACTGGATAATAGGAGTTTTACCACTGATATGTGCTTCACAGGGCACTGCAGGTGATAGCACAGAAGTGAGCCCTTCCTTTGCATTGTATCCATCCATCAAGACGAGAGGAGTGGCTTAGAGAATTCCTCTGCAAATAAGTTGGCCCCTTGCTTAGTGCTGCACCACGTGCAGAACCTGTTTAGCTGCCTGACATGAGTGGGGTGTCCACAAAGAGAACAAGGGGCCTGTAAACAGAAAATGCTTCTGACACTGTGTGTCGCAGCATTTCAGGGACCTGTATGGCATGATTTCTTGTTCAAAGCTAATATTTTGCTTTGAGGTTTGGAGATATTTTAGTAATGGTGGTAAGGTAAATATAAAAACAGCATTTTCACATGGCTGAGCTGCTGATAGAACAGGCTGTTTGTAACATCTTCCCTTCACATGATCTGAACTATTTTCCTATGTCTCTTCTATCCTTATATAACGTACCTTAAGGTGCAGTTTGTACCATTCTGAATTTATCCCCATGTCAGTATGTCATTGGATTTCATTGGAACAGGTTGCTCAGAGAAGTTGTAGATGCCCCATCCGTGGAGGCATTCAAGACCAGGCTGGATGTGGCTCTGGGCAGCCTGGTCTGGTGGCCCTGCACATAGCAGGGGTTTAAAACTACATGATCTTTGTGGTCCTGTTGTACCCAGGCCATTCTATGATTTTGTGTCTGCTTCTTGGATTTGAGTACAACAAAGCTGCTTGCTATCTGATACTCTCTGGGTTACTGCCCTTAACCAGCTCATCTTTTTTCTCCATACAGTTCTCTGTTACTAGAAGCACGTTTTTGCCATTACTACTTACCTATCATCAAACAAACTGACTTTCCCGTAAAGCCACAAACACTGAATTTTCTGTCCTGCCTCCTCAATTTCCTTATGTTCAGACTCATAATTTTGGGAAGGAGATAAAAATAAATGTGCTCTGTTGGCTCTGGTGATGTTTGAGAGGGAAAGGAGTACCCACCAGAGCTGGGACTTGGACAGTGTACGTAAGAACTCATGTATGAAGTGGAGATGCACAAGGATGCAGCCAAAGTGATCTTGTTAAATCTTTCATGGTTTCATCATTTACTTTATTTTGAGGAAGTGAGAGGTGTTAATCTGCTCCTTAGAATCACTCTGTTGATGCTGGGAATCTGGTCCATAGCTTTGTTTTGAAATGCAAAATAGATCTCAATGTTAGCATCCTATCTATTAAAAATGGCAGAATCTCTTCTCGTACTGCAATAGCATTGGCATCTTTGCAGAAACAGGCCATGATCAGACATACTGGGGCATGCAGCCATACTCTGAAGGCTTGTCATGCTCTACAATTGATGAACAGTTGCTTTTTGGTTTTGTTTTAGATAGGAAAGAAGTCTATATTGAAATGAGACACTGTTCAAGGCTGTACCTCACAAAATTAAGTAGAAGCAATAAAACCAAACCAAACTTTTCTATGTCATTTTTTTTTTTTTGAGATTACATAAAATTATATACAATGGAAGTACAGAAAATCTGTGACATTCTAAATAAGATGCTCCTAGTTTTACATAAATTTTGAGGGCTAGTTCTGAGAGAGAAGAAATAAATGTGTCTGTGTACAAACTGGGGCCAAGCTTACAATGCCTCCTGTCTTACAAAAAGTCTGCTGCAGCTATGAGAGATGTGGAAATACTGGATGGGAATAGCACTCCCAGATCTGCTCAGGATGGGACAACCCATGCTTTGTATTTCAATTTTTTTTTTTCTTTAAAAAATAAATAAATGTTGATGATGCATCCGAAAACAGAAGGTCTTTCCTGATTGTTTTATATAAGCACTGAAATAGGAAATCACCAGAAGAGCAGAGCTTTGTGTTCCTTGGAAAGATGAAATCCTGTTACTGTAGGTGGCAGGAGGGAACCCGAAGTGTCATTTAGCTGCTCACATTCCTTCCCAGGTCTAGAACCGCACTGGCTCTTGTCCTTCTCAGCCCTCTGAAACCCAAGCAGCTTTTTGGTGTAATTTGCCCAACAGTTGTAACTCAGTTTGCTTGATACTGGTGTGACGGGGAGGCAGAAAATGAGGCAGCATAATTGGATTATCGCTGTTTGTAGTATTTTAGCTCTCCTGTCATCATCATAACTACATTGGCAATGCTGAAACTGCAAAATAGTGCATAATCATATCATTTCTTCCAAAAATGATATGACATTGATGCGCGGCATCTCTGTGATTTTTCTGCTGCTCACGTTGTGTGTATATATATATGTATATATATATATATGTTTGACTCTATGAAGTACGCTTACAGTGTGAAGGAAATGCAGATGCATTTGGCTTGGCTATGGAGATCTGAAGTTAGAGAAAATGCTTCATGGTGTTCTTGATTATAATCAACTTAATGAATGGCCAGTATCTTCTGTTCAGAGCTGTATCTGAATTCTGTAGCTCTGTTGTATTTTGTTCTCTGGTCACAGTCCTCAGAATACGTTTTTAACTTGATCGGTAAATGGCTGCTGCAAAATTGAAGATACTTCTGTGTATTTGGATTGCACTAATATCACAGAAAGAGACCACTTCATGCTGTCGACCTGTGGCACTGTGAGTTAAACTGCTCTTTCTGAAAAGGTGCTAATTAGGTATTTAGTTTCTAAGTGCAGTTTGCTGCTTACAGTGATGAAGCTGAATTGCCCTGTGTTTGTAATAGCTCTGAATGTTCTTGACTTTGTCCAGAGTGGTTTCCACTTTGCAGTGACATTCTGAGGCCAAGTGTTTGAGTGCAGCCCACTTGCTCAGCTTTTGGTTTGTTCATTCCTTCATTCTGGGACCTCTCAGTGTCAACAGCAAGTCTTTGTGAACAGTAATTACTGTGTTCTGAAGTGACTGCTAAGCAACTTCTCTGATTTGCTAACACTTCTTTACTAAAGTTTACTTTTTTCTACAGTTTCCTTGAGGGCTTCCCACTGAGTTTCCTGTTAGACTGCCTTTGCTTCCTCTATTTCGTCTGTTTTCTGAGAGGCCCTTTTTGTAACAGCAATTGTAATTAATGGCTTACTGGTCTTTTCTTCCTGACGTCAGACCCCACTGCCACATCCCTGTCTCCCTGAGTCCCAGCTGTGGGCCTCAGCCCTGCCCTGGGGCTGGCAGGGTTGCAAGAGGAATATGGAGATCCTCTTCACTGTCTTTTCCTGCACAACTTCTGGGACTGCTGTGAATGAAAGCTTCTCTCTGCCTTTCTCCTCAGGCTGCTGCAATTAGAGGCTTCCACTCCCCTGAAAACATTTTTTCAGGTACTTAAGAGATTTAATCAACATCAGAGGTGATTTCGGTCTAGCAGAGAACTGAAATTTTCAGACTTGCTTTTAGGCTTTCTTCCATAAGCTTACCTGACCGACTGCCCCTTGCATCTTCCTGCACACCCTGCTCTCCATTGGTCTGCCCAGGCATTCATCATTCCGGAGCCCATCACTGCCGTTCCTCTACAGCAAGCAGCATTTCAGGCAGCGAATGTTGAACTTAATAGTACTGGGGGTTTCCCCCTCATAATGAGCTACAGCTTCATCTGATGGTTATCAGGGAGCTGTGCTCAGACAGTCCCAGCATGCAGCAAGGAGCTGCTCTCCGTTCTGTGGCCTGGTGTGTTTTTATCCTTAGAAATGCGGAGGCAGCCCTCCCAGCTTAGCCTGCAGAGTTGATAGGGACAGGCATGCTCTGTGCACATGCAGGCTGTGAGCCCTTTAGAAGAAACAAGTTAAAAAGGAACCTTAGGAACTGCAGGTGCGACCCCCAGAAGATGTGCAAAGAAACATTCTAGCATACATTGCTCAGAAAACGTTAATTCACTAATTTCTATAAGATTAATGTTGAGCTTTACTATTGCTTGTTATGCATGGCAGATAAAGTATCTTCAACAGGCTTCTTCTCTTTCCTTTCCTTTTTTTTTTTTTTTTATGCTGCCTATTTAAATCTTACAAATTACCTGAACTCAAAAAAATCATAGCTGGCTGTTCCAAAGGATAACACATAAATGTGCTGTTTTAACTTCTGGTAGTGTGCAAACTTAAGAAGGGTTTTTCTCAGTGGCTTCAAACGGGGCAGACTGATTACGAACACATCTGTTCCCTCACTTATTCAGCTGCATCTTGATACAGCCATTGCCCTCCCCCCAACTCACTTCATGAGATAAATACCGTGTTGTGAAATATGAAACTGAATGACTTTTTTTTCCCCCTTGGTCATAGTCACACCCACTGTGTGAAACCAGCCTGTTGTAAGTACTTATAGCACAGCCTTATTAATTTAAGGAACTGATTCATCAAGCTGTGTTGCTTGCTCAGCTATTCAAAGCTGTTGTAATAGTATTCCTTTCCTTACATCTCTGTCCTGCAGCCATATTGAACCTGTTCTGGTTCAGCATTTGCTTGTGGAGCTCATGGGCAGCACACAGGAGCACAGTGAAATCCACTGAAAGAACCAACATACTTGTTTTTTTCCAGCCTTGCAGCTAAAGGTGATGTGGATGGGCTGTACGCCTGGTACCTGGCTGGTGCAGACCTGGAGCAAACTGGTTATGATGGCAAGAACGCCCTACAAGTAGTAAGTGTGCACATGGCCATACTGCATGCAGTGCTCTAACGCTGTGGGTGCTGTCAGGTAATACAAATTTGGGAAAAGTAAATGCTGCTCTGGAGCTATAAACTGGGTTGCTGTATGTTGTGAACTCAAGTCTGGTGCTGTCCTCAAGTAATAGATTGTTGGAGCCAGAACTTTCTCATCTATCTCAGAGGAATTAAAATTTAAATTGGATTTTAATTATATTGTGGTAATATATTCTTACTTCCCACAAGAAAGTATTTGCATGTCCTGGTGCACAGGATGGCAGGATTTATTCATGTTTCTACTCACAGGCAAAGGCTACAGGGCATAAGGAGGTTCTTGACTTCCTCAGACAGAAGCAACAAAAGAAGGTAAGACTCATATTTCAGGGGCCTTGTTTCTGAAATACATGGGTCAGTATATGCTTATATGAAGGAGGACTTTGTATTTAAGCCTTATCTCTCATTTGAGTGCTGGGCTCGGCTGCTATCCCTGCCTTGGTCTATGGAATGGAACTAATGCTTATTCTTCTTTTGGCCTGAAACAATAAGTGATTTTTTACAGTGTGGCTCAGAATTTGGTTGGGTACCTAAATGCTATTACAATAAATCTGTTGAGGGCAGCAGTATCTCATTCTCCTGGCCTTCCACACACAGTAAATTGTTCCTCTGTCTCGTCTGCTTTAGAGAGGAAGTTCCTTCCCTTGGTCACCCTGCCAGGCCTGTTTTGCAGGGTGCTATGCCCACAGTGTGGAAGCATGCCCTTCTCCAGCACAGCCACGTTGTGATCACAGCCTCCCACTCAGGAAACACTGCTTGGTACTGCGGCATTTGCAGAGATGTGCTCTCCATCTGGCTTTTTCACAGAGCACCTTACACTAGCCCATCTTAGCATACAGAACATCTGGAGTTGGAAGGGGCACATGAGGTTCATCAGGTGCAACTCCTGGCTCCACAAAGGGCCGTGAAAAACCAAACTGTGTTTGAGAGTGTTGTCAACACACTCCCTGAACTCTGGAAGATTTGGGGTAATAAAGTCAAGCACTGCAGAAAAATAGGCAGATTCTCAATAGGCAGAAGGTAGCTACACAGCAGGGTGTGGAAGCTCCCTTTCTGCACATGGCTCTCCCACCCAGAGCACAGGACTGGGCAGTGCCGTGGCCTCTCTGATTTACGTACATGGCTTCATGACTGTCTCTGACTCCCGGCATGAATCTCTTTTGTGCTGCTAACGCACGAGGTGTGTTCTCCTGGCTGAACGCTTGTGAGAAGGGTGTGAGTCCCATGTTCAAAGCATCAGATCTGACAAGTCTCTCTGCAGTGAACTTGTCTGGGCGTTTGACCATCCTCAGTGCTGTGCTGTAACCAGAGACATTTAAAACTTGCCTTTTATTTCTCTGAACTCCTTTCTGATGCAGTATGTTGTGGATTTAGATATCTCTTCTCCAATATATTGGCAAGTCTAATACCAATTTAATTACTGGGAGGAGATGATGTCCTTTATTTAATCAAAAGAACATGAAATTTAGTTAAAGGTTTGGTTGCAGTCATGGCTACCTTGCTTCTTCCGTGTCCCATTTGATCAATGTGAGTGAATTCATGTATATAGGTGGGTAATTGCATTTAAAAAATGGTTGTGGTCCAAATGAGAACATGAGACAGAATCAGGCTTTTTTTTTTTCTTTCCTGTAAGTTTGGAGGTTTTATTTCTTTTAAGCTGTTGAAGTAGGATTAGATGCAGTCACAGTCTCAAGCTTTTGAATGGAAGCTTTCCAGTGCCAGAATGAAAATGTTAAAAATGCCTTCACAATCTGTGTGGTGTTGCAAAGTTATTTCCATTTGTAGTGAAATTTGTCTGCAAAGGTCACTTTTAGTTTGCAAATAGGGAATTAATGTGTTAAATCTTCAGCTCTTAGTTGGATATCTCAGCTCCTTTGGTCTGAGCCATCAGTAGTGCAGGCGATCTCAAGGAAGTCATCAGTGATGCATGAGAACTTGCTTGACAGGCTGCATGGTAATCTATTCCCAGGAAGGTTTTGGATACTGCCAACTGTTAAACATCCATTTTTCTCTTCATCCATAGGCTGTAGAAGATGGTCACTCCTCTTAGAAATACCAGCTCTGAAGTATTAGAGGTGTTCAGTGATTATGAGGAGAAAAAAGGAAAGAAACAACAGAAGCTGCACACGGAGCATGCAGGAAAACTAAAACTGACTTAGAAATGTTCTTTACTTAGGAACACGTTCAGCTCTCACCGATTTTCTAAAAACAATATGCTGCTTTATGTTTTAATCACTTTTTTTTTAAAAGGAAAGTTTTGTGAACAAGTGAGGCTGGAATGTATTGTCCTTCCTGCACAAGTTCTGCTTTTAAGGAGATTTTTTGAGTCTTCTTTCATTAAATCACCGAAGACAGTATTGCAGGCATGGCAAAAGGAAGTGCCGTGGTGAACTCGTTCCAAGAGAAAACAGTGGATTGTACATTTCTGTGTTTCAACTAATAAAATCTCTGTGGAACAATGTTGGTTTCACTTTGTCTGATTTTTGCAATGGCTTGTATCACTTCAGCTGCAATTACAGCAACTGTGAGTGTCAGTGCAAACAATTGAATCAGCCGTGGGCATCTCCCTGCAGTTGTGTACTAATCTTCACCAGTGTGTCACTGTAAAGCCTCACTTGAAATGAATAGGATGCAGATGCCATAAAGCATGTTTGTGGGACTGTCTGAGAGAACTAGCTGTTTTGTTTCTAATTGCATCTCTGCCACATCCTGACCAGAATATAATCAAGATTGCTACATGCTGGACACTGAATTCTTTGGACTGGAAATGCGATCTTGGTGTTAACAAACCCTAAGTTTAAAATCACAACACCTTCAGTCTAAAGGGGAAAAAAAAAGGTGATACACCCCTTTCCAGCTATGTCCATCCCAGAATATGTAAACACAGAGAATACTCCAGGCAAATGCATATATTGGCAATGGCAACTTTTAATTTCACCTTACAGCTACTGCAGTAATCTATGTGGATTTTATATCTATTTCATCTGAATGGAATCTTTGAAGTGCAGATAGTTGTTTCTTTTCCCTCTTTATGCTGTTCAATCTTCCCACAGCTATTCTTACCATGGAGAAGAGCTGCATGGATGACTTGCTGAGCTGGCTGGCATTAAAAGATTCCCAAGGTATGCTGCATATCAGATCCCCCTGAAACAGGGCAACCATGAGTGCACTCTGAGAAAATAAAAATGCACAGTATTTTAATATGAAAAGTAGTGCACCCCTTCAGTATGGTCACAAATGCTACAACTGTGCTGCCTTGTTATTAAACAATTGATGCTATATAGCAATAAATATGCTTCAGATTCAATAAAACTAGTATTGAATTAAGTAAATGAGATCTAAGATAAGCTTCAAAAATCATGCCTCAAATTCAGTGTCTTATCTGTAAGTACACAAATGGAATGTCTGTAACAAAGCCATGTTTGTGCAAATTTCTGCAATTAGGAGGAAAAGTGTACAGAGCCTCCTTTTCCCATAGTTTAGACCTAGTATCTGAACTCTTGTCTAAAAGGAGGTGCACTGAAGTAGGAAATCCCTTGATAAACTTCTCTACAAATTACTTCCGTGAGATTAAAATAAATAATAAAAAACTAACTAAATAAAAATAAAAAAATTAAAAATTAAAAAAAAAACCTAAATAAATAATAAAAAACAGATTCTCAGATGCAGTGACATATCTATAGCAGCACATCTCTGTCCCAGGATGGATGACTGCAGCATATACTGAAGCATCCTTATGCCTTTCAATAAGAACTGGTTTGATTACAGAAAACATAAACTGTGATGTTCTTATATTTCTAACATCTGCCTAAAGTAGAAAACCTCGGGGTTTTTTTGTTGTTTTTTTTCTTTTTTCTGGTCTAAATTACTGAAGCAGTAAGTCTCAACATTAAAACTGAAACAGAGAGAAGGAAACAGACAACCATTTTGTTTGTGTATGCTGGCCTAGCAGTAAAGACACGAGGGGTAACGGTTAGAAATGTGATCCAATAAGATTGTTAGAAGCTTGTGAAGCTAAAAAGTGTGCTGGGTCATGTTTACAGCAAGAATAAAGAGGTATTAGGTTATTTCTGACAAACCGTTACAAAAGTACATGCATTACTTTTGTACATGCCATTAATGCATTACCTCACATAAGATGGTATTCCTGCAACTTTTTTGATACAATCTGCCCTATAAATTGACTGATATCTAAAAAAGCGCTCATGGGAAATGTGTGAATGCACATTTAACATCTGAGAACTGAATCTTGGTCAAAATTTCACTCAAGAACTGCAGCAGTCATCAAGTTTTAAGATAAACTTTGTATAGGGCACCGTGATCGCAGAAGTTGCAGTGATCACCCAGTCCACTCAGAAACTTCAGCTCTGGATTCTGTTGGGGGCAGAACTCAGTAACGCTTTCAAGATGTTGCATTTGTCTGGTTTGTCTGCTACACCCTTTGCTTTGTGTAGTAGACGTAGTAATCATAATTGCAGTCTCCGTGATAATTCTGAGTCTTGTGATGAACCTACTTGTATACAGTAACACTTCAGCTTTACATATTTAGTGGTTAAAAGCAAAATCTTAATATTACTAAGGAATGAAAATTGTACCAATTTGTTCCTACCTATTTGTTCCAGTTACTGTAAGCAGCTAGGTGTCATGCATGAGTTAAAATATGCTAAGTATTCTTGGGGCAGCTTTAGCTTTTCAAACATCCTAATTTTTCCCCTTCAGGTCATCACTGGAAGATCAAATGCGCTCTTCTTTCTTATCTAGCAGTTGTCTGCTTGGTAAAGCTCTGTGGGTTCAGCAGCTGTACAATGCCATACTAACACTAACATGCCCATTCT